ATTTTTTGGGGGGAGCCTGGAGCTCCTCTTTAATAAAAAAGATTGAGAGAAATACATCAGCTCTTGTACTTTTATGATTCACCAGTAACAGATATAGACAATAGATGGCAATCTGACAAGCTATTTCTTTAAACACTTGTCTTTAGGGAATAAACTTACCATTAGATACATTGAGAAACCGACCGATAACTTCCACCCAAGCAGAAAACGTTTTTGCAAAATATTCCTTTCCATACAGCTCCTCCATGGGCTGTCTCATCTTTTGACTCCAGTTTGACACATCCTTTACAGCTAAATAGGTTGCAAGACAGGTTAGAATGAGTATTGCTGACTTGACTGTCACACAGATCATGCACCACATATCTATATTCACACTGACAACTGCAATTAGGGTGATATTTTAAAGGAAGCTTAATCTTTACAATACATATTGCACACCACATTAGCAAGAATGAAAATGACAGGGAAATGGTGATATTTAATAATGGAGCTACTATAGGAACAAAAATTTAACACCTGTTATATTGTGGATAATAACCCATTTAAAATATGAAAAATACACACTACCAAGTTATGTACAATGCATACTATATCGTTTATATATGGAATGTGCAGTTATGTACACCTCTCTGTCTATGCCGCTATTGTTGGTCACTTGTTTTATTGCAAGTTATAGAACTATCTTCTGGGGACTGTAGATATACTGCACAAACCAATTTGTAACAAACATGTATATGACTTAGCTGTATGTATATTTGGTAATTTATACACAGATGCTTTCCAGGAGTCAATGTTTGTTATGGTACACATTTTTTCTGTTAATTAACTGCACCTTCACATCATATTATTAACAATGGATGCACAATGAAGAAGCTATCTTGTGTAATGTATATGCTGTTACAGAAATGAAGCTGTAAGAAGATAATTATACAACAGACATGCATTTATTTTTTCTGCAATGTAGGTAAATAAACTACTTGCTCTGCCTCTTCTATTCTTTTTTGTCTCACCAGATATCTAGGTTTTCAAGGAGGCAGGACTCTAATTACTGTACTCCATGGGAATTTAGTGATCTTGCTGCCACCATGTAGAAACATAAACCAGGTAGCTAGTCATATTACAGTACCACTGAAAGAGTATTTACTATTACTAAATACACTTGTCTGATTTTAATAAAAGTCTGTAAACATTTAAGCAAAATCTTAAAAGATAACTAAAACGCAAGAACGAAAAGCTTACCAGTCCTTAGATGTGATGGCTGCATAACAACATTTTTAGCAAGTATAGATAAGATCTCTTAATTCTACCAGAAATGCAGTGTTCTTGTCACTTCATTTGCAATAGAGATGAAGGGAAATGTGTTTGATGTCCAGCCTGGGGGGCAACCATGGTTCCCTCCATAGATACAGTGGGAGAGTGAATGTAGCCACCCAGGGAGGGAATTGTGTTATATGCAGGATTACGGGTGAAAACAAAAAGAAATAAGTATGAAAAAATGTAGCCACCTGATCTACGGACTGCTAAGCTGACATATAAAACATTACTTAAAGGATTCCCAAAGCCATGTATAATATATCGAATAGGGAGAACAGCAGTGAGCGCTAGTCCTGAAAGCGGCTAAGCACTCTAAGCAACCAATATGTACTTAAAATGGAATGACATAAAAATAGTGCAGCGCAAAAGGTAGTGATAATAAGACAGATATAAGTCCACTAAAAGTCTTGGTCATAAGAACGTGTCCAGTGACAAATGAGGATTCAAAAATTGGTGATCCGTGTGGAAACGGCTGAAAAAAACGCACTCACCAGAAGCAAGACACATAAACGCAGTGTGCATCTAGAGCTCATGGATCCTCAATCCAGAAGGGAATAAAGCTGGTCCAGTTACAGGAATGGTGGATCCCTCCTCTGTGGATGCAGCAACAGATCGTCCTCTTCCCAATTAGGTGTAGGATTCCAAGATCAGGATTCTGCAAGCAAAAGCTCCTCAGGGGAGTTTTAGGGAAGGACACCCATAGTGTAGTAGGTTATAAAAAGCAGCTTTATTAAAAATTATAGTATCCAATTCAAAGTAGGCAGGTATCATAAAGATGTGTCAGCAAGACAAACTAACCCCGACACTCTGAATAATGGCCGCCGGGCCTCCACGTGGCTCCGGCGGCGTAGCGTCTCGACGTCCAGGCTCCTCCTTACGCGTTACGTGCGCACGCACATCTTCAGAGGTATGGAACCATTGGCGTGATGACGCGAATAGGCGCATATAAATAAGCATAATGACGCATGCGCGGTTTCGTAATGATTTTCACATGTGTCATTAGTTTTGAGGTTAGTGCAGATTTAGTTCTGTAGTCGTTTTATTTTATTTTAGTTTTTTTCTCTGAGAATTTTTTTTCTGGCATATAACTTTTATGTATATGATGTCTTTTTGAATGTTGGTAAATTTTAACTTGCAAAGAAATAATGACGCATGTATATACACATACTCAAATTATACTACATAATTGGAATAAGTTCAACACATTGGCGCTATCGCGCTTATTTTATATACTTTATATAGATTTGAATCAGATTGTCTTTCAAATAGGTGTATTTCACACCGTTGTTGAACTTGTCTTCATTGACATTCATTTGTCAAATATAGGGCATTCTTGCCCTTCTATCCTGTGTCTTTGAGCTCCATCAAAATGGAAGACGGAGCCACGCACATGCGCCTTAGTTATTGCACACTGGCGCATACGAAACCGCGCATGCGTCATTATGCTTATTTATATGCGCCTATTCGCGTCATCACGCCAATGGTTCCATACCTCTGAAGATGTGCGTGCGCACGTAACGCGTAAGGAGGAGCCTGGACGTCGAGACGCTACGCCGCCGGAGCCACGTGGAGGCCCGGCGGCCATTATTCAGAGTGTCAGGGTTAGTTTGTCTTGCTGACACATCTTTATGATACCTGCCTACTTTGAATTGGATACTATAATTTTTAATAAAGCTGCTTTTTATAACCTACTACACTATGGGTGTCCTTCCCTAAAACTCCCCTGAGGAGCTTTTGCTTGCAGAATCCTGATCTTGGAATCCTACACCTAATTGGGAAGAGGACGATCTGTTGCTGCATCCACAGAGGAGGGATCCACCATTCCTGTAACTGGACCAGCTTTATTCCCTTCTGGATTGAGGATCCATGAGCTCTAGATGCACACTGCGTTTATGTGTCTTGCTTCTGGTGAGTGCGTTTTTCAGCCGTTTCCACACGGATCACCAATTTTGAATCCTCATTTGTCACTGGACACGTTCTTATGACCAAGGCATGTATAATATATCTTTTTGAAATTCTTCATCCTGTAATACAGCTTATCAAATAGCAATAGTGAACTGATAAAGTTATAATCTTTATAAAATTAAAATAACTCATTCATTTTGGATTGAAAAAAAAAAACAAATAACTCAGTAATTATGCTTTATTAGTCGTCCAATTACCATCACTTTCCCCACACTTCCAATGTACTGTATATGCATGCAGTAACATTGCTTCTAAGCCATCTCGTTTGTGCATTGTGCACAGTCCAAAACAACATATCCAAAAGGGCATTGGGTTATCTGTCAGAGGCCAGGGCTTTTCCTGAAGGAATGCTGGCACTGAACCCTTCAGCACTCTGACAGCAGGGACAATCTCTGGAATTGAGAGGTGGAGCTGAAAACATGATGGGTGGTGGGGCTGTCCCACATAATGGTGTAAGAGAGCTAAAGCAGGGCATAGTGGTGGCATGATGACGCTGACAATCCCACTTATAGTCTATGTGGAAATTAACATTTTCCCAGGTGGCTACACTGGAAGAATATTAAGATACAAGAGTGTAGCCGCCCTGCAACAGGGAGAAGGTTTGAATGAACTTCACTGCCAGGATCAACAGGTACTTTTACAGAATAAACAGAAATAAAATACACTGCAATACACTACGTCATGCACTACACTGTTTAAGAAATTAGTTATACACCAACTGGTAATTTAAAGTTTTGACCAGACATATATTTTAACCTGCCAAAATATTAGATGCCAGTTTATTAGTCGCTGTTGCACAAGCAGTACCTTGACCCTCTATTTCCATGCAATCTAGCATTTTCATTTAAAGAAGTGAAAAAAGAAGAAACTGAGACAAGAGAAACTATGTTTAGACTCTGTTGTGAAATGAAACCGCATCCTTTATTTTCTGTTTTGTAAGCTCAAGTAAATCTGCTTGCACCAATATTCTACTAAAAAGCCAGCAGCACAGCAACTGTTTCACTTCTGTGTCATCAGCCACATGCATTTTCCTATTATACACATGGAACCTGCCAGACACAAATTCCCAGACTGTTGTTTGAACATCCTTGTGTTTACATCAGTCTTGCAGTATACTGTGTTATATTGTAATTTCTGCAATTCAGAATGCTTATGGTGTGCTTTTCTAATTTTCCTCCTCATTTTCCCCACTCTATTTTTAATTCATTCTCCACACTTCCATTCTTGCATACTGTACAATAAGAGGTTTTAGCTGCATGTACACACAAAGCACAGGGGATCATGTGTGAGGACAGAACTCAATTTAAACAAATGCCCTACACCCTTTGACATGGTAGTGTGCATGACAGCCTTTTTTCTAATTAATAAAAAATTCATGGTGACAAATCGGTGCAATGAAAGGGAAAGAAACAACCATTTTTGAATCACATTCAGCTCCTGTATCCAGGGATTTGACTCTTCAGAAGCAGTCAAATGTGGTATCAACTTCAGAGGCATTATGCAAGGGAATAAAAATAATTTATGGAAAGGAAATAATTAATGGAAAACCTTGTTAGTAAGCATTTACAAAACATGACTGTATTATGCTTTTACCTGCTTCATGTTAAGTTTGCATTAGAGCTCAATGCAATTTTAGCCACAATACCACTGCAACAAGGAACTATATTAACAGCCGTACTGCACGTGATGACTAGGATTTAAAAAACAAGATAATGGACATATTATTGTTTATTAACTTTACCATTATAAATTTGCAGATCTTCTTCAGTCACATAGGCATTGGCTCCCCATATAACAAGTTTATTGATAAGAGATGGGTAAGTTCCCGCAGCAATCAGTGCAGTTATGCCTCCATCACTCCACCCTAGCAATGAAAATTTCTTGAATTGTAGAGCCTACAACAAAAATGTGTTCACAATTTTATTACAGAAGTATAATATATACACCATACATGTGAACTGTTTACCTTCCAAACACTTTATAATGCTAGTTTTAAAGTGGTAGTAAACATCGCTTGGTGACTTGCAACTACAGGTAAATTTATAATGATACTTACCTGTATGTACAGGTGAAACTCGAAAAATTAGAATATCGTGGAAAAGTTCATTTATTCCAGTAATGCAACTTAAAAGGTGAAACTAATATACGGGAAAGACTCATTTCATGCAAAGCAAGATAGTTCAAGCCGTGATGTGTCATAATTGTGATGATTATGGCTTACAGCTCATGAAAATCCCAAATCCACAATCTCAGAAAATTAGAATATTACATGCAATGAATAAAACAAGGATTGTACATAGAACAATATCGGACCTCTGAAAAGTATAAGTATGCATATGTACTCAGTACTTGGTTTAGAGGCCCCTTTTGTAGCAATTACTGCCTCAATGCGGCGTGCCATGGAAGCTATCAGCCTGTGGCACTGCTGAGGTGTTATGGAAGACCAGGATGCTTCAATAGCGGCCTTCAGCTCTTCTGCATTGTTCGGTCTCATGTCTCTCATCTTTCTCTTGGCAATGCCCCATAGATTCTCTATGGGGTTCAGGTCAGGCGAGTTTGCTGGCCAATCAAGCACAGTAATCCCACGGTCATTGAACCAGGTTTTGGTGCTTTTGGCAGTGTGGACAGGTGCCAAGTCCAGCTGGAAAATGAAGTCAGCATCCAGATAAAGCTCGTCTGCTGAAGGAAGCACGAAGTGCTCCAAAATCTCCTGGTAGACGGCTGCGTTGACCCTGGACTTAATGAAGCACAGTGGACCAACACCAGCAGATGACATGGCTCCCCAAATCAACACGGACTGTGGAAACTTCACACTTGACTTCAAGCATCTTGCAGTGTGTGCCTCTCCATTCTTCCTCCATACTCTGGGTCCTTGGTTTCCAAATGAGATGCAAACGTTGCTCTCATCAGAAAAGAGGACTTTGGACCACTAAGTAACAGATTAGGTCCGTTTTTCTTTAGCTCAGGTAAGACGCTTCTGACGTTGTTTGTTGTTCAGGAGCGGCTTGACAAGAGGAATACGACATTTGAAGCCCATGTTCAGGATCCGTCTGTGTGTGGTGGCTCTTGATGCACTGACTCCAGCCTCAGTCCACTCCTTGTGAAAGTCCCCAACACTTTTGAATAGCCTTTTCCTGACAATACTCTCCAGGCTGCTGTCATCCCTGCTGCTTGTGCACCTTTTTCTTTTCCACATAACTTTCTATTAATGTGCTTTGATACAGCACTTTGGGAACATCCAACCTCTTTTGCAATTACCTTTTGAGGCTTTCCCTCCTTATGGAGGTTGTCAATGATGGTTTTCTGAACAACTGTCAGGTCAGCAGTCTTTCTCATGATTGTGATTCCTACTGAACCAGACTGAGAGACCATTTAAAGGCTCAGGAACCCTTTGCAGGTGTTATGGCTTAATTATCTGATTAGAGTGGGACACTTTGAGCCTAGAATATTGCACCGTTTCACAATATTCTAATTTTCGGAGGTTGTGGATTTGGGGTTTTCATGAGCTGTAAGCCATAATCATCACAATTATGACAAATTACGGCTTGAACTATCTTGCTTTGCATGTAATGAGTCTCATATATTAGTTTCACCTTTTAAGTTGCATTACTGGAATAAAGGAACTTTTGCATGATATTCTAATTTTTCGAGTTTCACTAAATTAGTGAATAACACAGTATTGTGGTTTGTCCCAAAATGTAAAAAATTCCTGCAGAAAGGTGCTATCATCACAACATCCTTATGTTCAAATACGTTATTTGCAATAGAGAGCCCAATATTTAGTATGTAAGGGTCATTAATATTAATGAGCAATGCAACCACTTAAGGACCAGTCTTTTTCTGGCACTTCTGTCCACATGTAACAATCAGTTTTCTTTTGCTAGAAAATTACTTAGAACCCCCAAAAATTATATATTTTTTTTAAAGCAGAGACCCTAGAGAATAAAATGGTAGGTTTTTCAATTTTTTTATGTCATATGGTACTTGCACAGTGGTTTTTCAAATGCAATTTGTTGGGAAAAAATATACGGGTTTGAATTTTAATGCAACACACAATATATAACCCATTTTTTTTTTTTAAATATAAAAGATGATGCTATGCTGAGTACATAGATACTAGATACCAAACACGTCATGCTTTAAAACTTGTGCACGTCTGTGCAACAACGACAATCAATGTAAATTTTACTATCCATAGGCAAACACTTTTAAAAGCCTTTACAGGCTACCACTTTAGATTTACAGGGGAGGACTGCTGCTAGAATTACTGCCCATGATCTGACGTTTGTGGCGATACCTCACTGTGCAGGACTCTAGCTGTCTGAACACGTACAGAACTGGTGTGTGAAACATGCCTGTGACAGCAATAGGCAAGTGACAGGTACTCTGCACCTAAAAGCATTCAAAAACACCAAGATGGGTGTTTTGGAATGCTCGAGTTTTTGAAAATGGCGCTGTTGACATCCGGGTAAAAGCGGAAGTGATGACAGGCCATTGCTTTCGGGTTACCATAGCGCAGAGATGATCAAAGCCAATTCTGGCTTTGTTTTTGCTCTCTAACTAGCCAGTAGATGCGCAGGTGGGACGGGAGATCCCAAGCTAGCTTTGGGGATTGGGGGGGGGGGGGGGGGGGGGAGGGGGTTGGTTGGACATCCCCTCCAGCTGCTTTTAATAGCGATCGAGTGGCTAGTTAGCTGTTCCAATTGCTATTGCAAGAGAACTAACCGCCAGTTCTAAAAAGAGAAACAGTACCTGGGTGATGCCTGCAGCTGCCAAGTGGTACAACCACTTGAAGACCAGTGATGTACCAGGTACATGACTGGTCAGCAAGTAGTTTAGGTACAGTATAGCAATTTTTACATAATTATATTGGTTCATCTTGGACTATGGTGATTCCTGAGGGATGCCTGTGGAAACTGGAATTACTGTGGTAGTCACCGCTACTACATTGATCCACACAAGCTTCCAGGTCCTGTGCTAAGAAACTGCCTGCTGCATTCTATTAGCATTCAGAGAACAATTTGCATTTTTTTAATGAATGCAAAGCATTCTCTGATTAGACATAGTGGAGATTGTGATGTCATTGCCCGCTTTTCCAACTCGTTCAACCAGAGAAAGCTTTGCATTCATTGAGAAAATGCAAAGTGTTCCCTAAATCGTGTCCGTGCCGAGCAACCATCCTCCTGCTTTTAGTACGCAGGACAGCTGCTTGGCATGGGACTAGGAAGCTAGTGGAGATCTCTATTGTAGTGGTGCCACTTACAGTGATTTTCAGCTTCCACAGGAATCCCACAGGTATGGCACGCACATACATCCATACGTTCAAGTTGGACAAATAAAACTTTGTAAAAATTGCCATACCTAAAACTTAAAAATTGTAACAGGGGTGGGGACTTTTATCCTGCAATATAGCTGATATAAGTGACAAAAATGTATATTCAAACATGAATATGATTACTGGTAACCTGATGCTATTAGCACACTGAAGATTTATAACCCATTTAAGAAGACATTGTCCTAGATAGTTGTGCCACCTGGCAGAGGACACACTGGTGCCATGCCTGGCTCCCACTCTCTTGATAGAATACAAAGAAATAACATCCCTGACACATGGGGGTTTATTTACTAAAGCTGGAGAGTGCAAAATCAGACTCCCTTCTGCATAGAAACCAATCAGCTTCCAGGTTTCATTGCCAAAGCTTCATTGAACAAGCTGAGGTTAGAAGCTGATTGGTTTCTATGCAGAAGGGGAGTCTGATTTTGGACTCTCCAGCTTTAGTAAATAAACCCCATGGGGTCATGTGGTGGTGACAAGTAGAAAAAGAACTACATGCCTAACACCCAGGACTAGTGGGTTTCTACAGGAGCTTTTTTAGCTGTAAAAAGCTGTAACCCTGAAAAACGCGGCAAAATGTAGTAAAACACCGCAAACCTGCATTTTTGAACTTTTTTTGATAAAAAAAAAAAATTTTTTTTGGTAAAATAAAATGCTAATAAATCGTTACAAATGCAAACACAAAAAAAAACGCTACTAATCGCGGCAAAATTTCACTAAACGCTAATGCAAAAAAAAGCTAAAAACCTCACATTTTTGACGTGACTTTACACAGCTAACGTTACCAGCGTTATCAAAACATCCAGTGTGCATGAGGGCTAAAATGGGCACAAATTCCCACCCACATAGCCCAAAATCTTGTGGAAAGCATTCTTAGAAGATTTGAGGCAGTTATAATCACAAAGAGGGAGTCATCTTCACATCAACGCCTACGTTTTGGAGAAGTACACACAAGCTCATACAGATGTCCATAAACCTGCTATATAGTGAATTAGTGGAAACTTACAAGCCCAAAGTGTCTATTGTTAAAGCAAAAGATGGAAACCTTCTCATTTAATTGGGTTTCTACTATCTAAAGCATGTCTGACTCAAAGATATATTACCTGCATCAAGTCTACGGCATCTTTTGCATCTCTTTCAAAAAAGTCCATAGGATAGTCTCGATGTGGTGGAATGGAGAGTCCATATCCTCGGGGGTCCCATGCAATTAGCGTAAAAGCATTTTTATTAAGTTGTTTGAGCTGAGGTCCAAAGTCTGTCAGACTGCTTCCTGTACAAAAAAAAAAAAAAAAAAAAAACACAAAAAAACAAGAACATTAAACAAAATATTACAGTTCTCATTATAGCGTTACTAATAAAAATTTACAGTGAAATCTTTATAGCTGAATTCCAGGCAGATAGAGAAGACCATACATTCTTTGGATCAAATAATCAAATGTATCATTACATACAGGTACTAAAAAGTTTGCATACCCTGGAAGAAATCATGAGATTTTGACACGGATATTGAAAATATGAAGGTTTTCATGACAAAATCTGTCTTATTTAAGAATAGTGATCATACCACACCATTTACCATTTAAATAAATAAACCACGCATCCAAGTGTAGGAGTATAGGAACTACTAAAAACAACGGGTGAAAAATCGTGACCAAAGCCATGGACAAAAGCCCTGAGGAAGTCACGTGACTCGTGACGCAATGCGTAGGACAGAAGTGTGGTGACGTCATTTCTGGTACGGACGGCAGCTGCCATCTTGGTACTCCCAAGCTTATACCTCTTTCTGCATTAGATTGCAGTGTTTCTTGCCTGTATGGGTCTGCAGATCCATTTTTAAATGTGAGTAGTCACTTTGTGTATCTTTTTACAATACATATTTGACTTACTACACCATGGGAAGCTGTTTTGTTTAAATAGTCTTATGGCCATATCCATGTACAGACACCTGAGTGGTTATTGCTGTTAGTGCTCACCATCTCCACCATAGAGGAGTGCTCCGAGTACTATCGAGGGAAATACACAGTGAGATCATCGGTTGAGTGTATTCAACGCCTTGTGACCCCTTGCTGGTCCCAGTTTGAAGGTGAGCGCGCACGCTAACTGGTGGAGGATTGATTCATTGCAGTGATCACCAAATGATTCACGGCTTGTGCTGAAGATTCACTGTTTTTTTGGGACTGTACACTACATAGATTTGGTTTGGGACATATATTGTGCACGTTTTTCTACAATCAAGTTTATTTATTATTTATGGTCACTTATACACTTGTTCATCACTGGTACTTTAATTATGCAGATGCTTATATATTTTTGTCCATTGCTTTGATCACGATTTTTCACCGTTGTTTTTAGTTCCTATACTCCTACACTTGGGTGCGGGGTTTATTTATTTGTTCACTGAGTAGTGCAGCACCAATCCATTGTATATATTTCTGTCACTATTGGAAATATAGTCAGGTGTCTGCGGCCACTTGGCGATGATATAGTTACCTGGCAGCGCAGGAGGATTTTTTTTCTTCGTTAGTTATAAAATGTACTTACAAATATACTAAGAACATTATATGATTTGATAAGATTTTTTATAATTGGAAACCTAATCTCTTTTAGGAACTTTTACTCAGAATAGTAATGTAACTTGGTAATGCCGCCATGTGTTTTATCAATTCATCTTAAGATTAAAAAACACAATGGGGGAGATATACTAAAGCTAGTGCAATCACAATCTGGTGCAGATGTGCATGGTGGCCAATCAGCATCTAACTGTAGCCTGTTCAAATAAGCTTTGACAATAAAACCCAGAAGCTGATTGGTTTCTAAGCAGAGCTGCACTAGATTTTGCACCAGGCAGTTTTAGCAACTAATCCCCATTCACTTCACCTCTGAAATGCATGCACATTCCCTATGTTTTATCCCTTCCCAAATCCTGCAGGTACAGAAAAGTATCTGTTGAGCGAACAGAAATCCAGCATGCACCTAACTTCCTGTTTGTGCTGACAACATAGTTCATCAAAATTTCAAGTAGTGTTGTCAACCGTACCAAGTTCTATTTACTTGGCAGAATTTCTCCAACCTCTCCTCATCTCTATAACATTGGAGAAGGTGTTCAGTAGTCCAGTGAGGGAGAACTGAGGCAAGGTTAACCACTTCAATACCGGGCACTTTTACCCCCTTCATGCCCAGGCCAATTTTCAGGTTTCAATGTTCTTACACTTTGAATGACAATTGCGCGGTCATACAACACTGGACCCAAAATACATTTTTATCATTTTGTTCAAGCACAAAAAAAAGATAGAAAATTAAAAAAAAACAAAATAAAACACGTTTCTTTGTTTCTGTTATAAAAGTTTGCATATAAATATTTGTTCTTCATATAAAGATGTATTCTGCTACATTTCTTTGGTTAAAATAACCCAAATCAGTATTTATTATTTAGTCTGTAGGAAAGTTATAGAGTTCACAAACTACGGGATTTATCTGAAAATTGATCAATCCTGAAGTACTGACAGCCAATCTAATTTCTTGTGGCCCAAAAATATCAGAACAGTACAGATATCCCCCAAAATGACCCTTTTTTGCAAAGTAGACAGTCCGACGTATTTCATAAAAGGCATGGGGAGTTTTTTGAAGTTGTCATTTTTTTTGTCATAATTTTTCAGAAAATGAAGAAATGAAAAAAATTATTTTCACAATTTTTTTTTTTTTTTACATACTGTCACCAGTGCAGTACAGCGACATCATATAACTGGTATGGCGGTGATCTGGGACACTGACTGATAACATAACGAAATTTTTTTTATCATTTTTATTACATTTTTTTCTTTAAGATTTGTTTTTCATATTACACTATGACCAACGTAGTATAATGTTACCATAGTAAAATTGTACTACTTTGGGGAAGTGATCAGTATTTTTTTTTTTTTTTTTTACACAATTTGATTGCTTATAGCAAAGAATTTTTTGCTATCAGCAAGCATTTAACTGAATGAAATCGATTCATTCAGGTTTTTTTGTTTTTATTAGCTGTGATTGGCCACGGTTAATCACATGACAGAGAAGGGCTGTGATTGGCCCAGTCTGTGCATGTGATCACTGTGACCATTCACTGCTAGACACAGTTGTATACAATGGATGGCATGAAAGGAAGCCATCCATTGTGTACAACTGTCATGTGACCTGCTGTCATTGGTCACAGCAGGTCACAAGGTACTGGCAACGGGGCCGGTACACAGATCTGTCATCGGCCGTGTCCGAGCTACACAGCCAATGACAGATCTTGCCACAGCGCAGCCCTGCGGGCAAGCGTAAAGTGCGATCCGGGAAGGACGTCATATGACACCCTACCGGAGGGACGAGAGGTTCGCCCAGCTGTCATTTTACTATAGGCTGGGCGGGAAGTAGTTAATACACTGCTTGGGATTTTAGTGCAGCAGAGGCAGAGTTGTTGGATTAAACAGGAAGTTAAGAGTTTTTGGATTTTCTTACAGGATCAACAGGTCTTTCGTTTTCTATACTTGCAGAGTTTTATAAAACACAAAACATAGGAAAATGTGCATGTATTGCAGAGATGTACTGAATATATTCTCCCTTTCATATTGTCCATTCACTTTAAGAATTGTGTGGTAAATTTGAGCACCATACCTAGTACTCCAGGCAGTAACAGGACTGCATGATCACCACCACCTGTCCGCTGGTAATGTAGATTGACACCATTAACTTGCACTCTCTCCGAAGTGACTGAGGTACTGTAGGGAGACATTTTTTTGTCAAAACACAGTTAATATGGTATATCCTCTACTCACGTTTGCAATAAATCACAAAACACAGTGTAAGCTGTCAGAGAAGAACAGAGAAAAGCAGATGGAAGACACAAATCAGAAAACATTTTTTATTAAAAAAATAAGACATTTTATTGATTATTCTTTCAGTAATATGGAGTGATACAGTCAACAGAACTGAGTTGTATGGCAGTTAAATACTTTTGTAACCTCAAAAACCAAATGTGCTTGTTTTTATCCTGTGCATGGCTACTGTCTACTATAAAGGTAATAGTGAATATCGTGTACTGTCTACTTTTAGGGGTTTTATAATGAGGATGGTTCGCCCCTTGATTGGCCCCTTGAGGGTTAGGGACTGATGTGAATGTACAATATATATGTAAAGCGCTGCGTAATTTGATTGCGCTATATAAGTACCTGTAATAATAATAAATAATGTAAAGCCAAAGTTTTGAACAGAAAAGAGTATGGTAAGGGCCTGTGAACTCTATTTCTTCTCTTTGTGTCCCATCTGTGGGATTTCCCTTTACTTCGTGTTCCAGAGACACTGCAGGAAGTAAGGATCACTCCGAAGCAAGGGGAAATCTCCTTCAGGACTATTGTGCTGCAGAACAACTTTCCCTATTGGAAGATTTATCCTCGCCTAGGTCAAACACAAAAATGTTACAATTCCTATCACTTTCTGTACTGGAGACCCTGGTCACCTAGATTAACAGTGAGAGTGAATGTGTTAAAACCAACAGGAATTCGAACCCCTCACCACTTTATAAATAGTGACAGGATGAGACTTTGTCACTGTAAGAAGATAGAAAAATGTGACACAGGATTCTCATTTAAGGCGATTATGACATTCCATGCTAGTGTTCCTGTGGATTTGGCGTTCTCTGGATTCTGCAGCTCTGGATTGGAACAATTAATCCTGTGTCCGTGTTTTGCAAAATACCTGCAATCTGGAGTACACAAGTGTGGGATGTCGTTTTATACTCAGGTCTGAGAAGAGCTCAGGGCTTCCAGTTTGGAGACCGCTCCCCGTGGGAGTAACAGGAGGTCTCTGAGGAGTCAGAGAACCTAGCTGGAAACCAAGAAACAGAGGTCTCAGTTCCAGGAGTCAGGCAAGCTCGAATCAGGGAACCACAATTCATAGGCCAGAGGAGCAGAAGGGTCCTGTGACTAAAGGCTAAAGAGCCAAGTATCTAGGAGAGCCAGACAACACAGTCAGAGACTACTAGAGGGGCAGCGTGATACTGCATTGAAGCTGAGTGAGTTTATGAGCCAAGTGGCTTGGCATTTTTCCGTGTGTCTTTTTGCTGAAGCTGGAGAAGATACCCTACGTGGGAAGCCATTAGTTTGTGAACTTTTGCTTTCTTTCAAATAAGAGCGGGCTACCAAGCACTTAAGATATAGTTCAAGTAAAACTTTTTTTTTTCATTTTGGATAAAGTAGGTTATAACCCCAGTCAGTTGGCCAGTTATGTCCCATTTGGGAGATTTCCCTTCATTTCCTATCCCATAGCCAAACAGGAGGCGAGAGGAAACCCTTGCAAATGAATGGAATACCCCGAGACCCTCCAGGTCACCAGAACTAGTGTCTCAATTAGAAAGGATTTTCCCTCTATTATTTTTATGGGGCCAACTCAAAGTTTGGGATTTTCCTTTACTTTCACTTATAATGGTACGCAGGACAAATAGTGAGAATGCATCTCCCTAAAGGGGGCACAGACAGCAATATTAACCTAACAAGTGTTTTAATCCATCTCCACTCTGTCCAAAAATAAACAAGTTTAGTTATATTTAAATAATTTAGCATTGCCTTTTGGTGGCCCTTAAGGTGGGCTTTAATAATAGTCAGGAGGCAGCGTGGCCTTTTTATTGTGACTACTATGACTGGCTCTCTCACCAATCACAAAATCCAGAGCCCATCCTGCTGATCAGAAGCCCTCACCGAGATCTCGGAGTGCACAATACTGCAGGCCCCATGTCCATACACAGATCAGCCAAAACATTATAACCTTTTGAGGCATGGATGTCACTAGACCTCGGAAGGTACGCAGTGATATCTGACAACAGTAGCAGTGAGTAGCAGCTCCTTTAACCTCCCTAGCGGTCTGATTATGTCAATATTTCTGTGCTCAAAGCAGTACATTTTTTTTGCGTCGAAATATGTTGTTTTTTTATTGTAGGCCTGTCATTTTTAGGAATAACTCACCTGAAATCTGTCAGAGTCTAGTAAACATCTCGGGTATGAAAAAACTTGAAACACAAAATCATAAATTATAATATAATAAATCATAAAAAATAATATAATAATACAGTGAGGAACAGAAGTATTTGAACACCCTGCGATTTTGCAAGTTCTCCCACTTAGAAATCATGGAGGGGTCTGAAATTCACATTGTAGGTACATTCCCACTCTGAGAGACAGAATTTAAAAAAAAAATTCAGGAAATCACATTGTATGATTTTTAAAGAATTTATTTGTCTTGCACTGCTGAACATAAGTATTTGAACACCTGAGAAAATCAGTGTTAATATTTGGTACAGAAGCCTTTGTTTGCAATTACAGAGGTCAAACGTTTCCTGTAGTTCTTGACCAGGTTTTCAAACACTGCAACAGGGATTTTGGCCCACTCCTCCACATAGATCTCCTCTAGATCTGTCAGGTTTCGGGGCTGTCGCTGAGCAACACGGAGTTTCAGCTCCCTCCAAAGATGTTCTATTGGATTTAGGTCTGGAGACTGGCTAGGCCACTCCAGAACCTTGATATGCTTCTTACGGAGCCACTCCTTGGTTATCCTGGCTGTGTGCTTTGGGTCGTTGTCATGTTGGAAGACCCAGCCACGACCCATCTTCAATGCTCTGACTGAGGGAAGGAGGTTGTTGCTCAAAATCTCACAATAAATGGCCCCATTCATCCTCTCCTTAATACAGTGCAGTTGTCCTGTCCCCTTCGCAGAAAAGCATCCCCAAAGCATGATGTTACCACCCCCATGCTTCACAGTAGGGATGGTGTTCTTGGGATGCAACTCATCTTTTTCCTCCAAACACGACGAGTGAAGTTTAGACCAAAAAGTTCTACTTTGGTCTCATCTGACCACATGACTTTCTCCCATGCCTCCTCTGGATCATCCAGATGGTCACTGGCAAACTTCAGGCGGGCCTGGACATGTGATGACTTGAGCAGGGGAACCTTCCGTGCAATGCCTGATTTGAAACCATGACGGCATAGTGTTCTACTGACAGTGAAACTGTGGTCCCAGCTCTCTTCATATCATTGACCAGCTCCTCCCTTGTAGTTCTGGGCTGATTCCTCACCTTTCTTATCATCAGTGATACCCCACGAGGTGAGATCTTGCATGGAGCCCCAGTCCGAGGGAGACTGACAGTCGTCTTTAGCCTCTTCTATTTTCTAACAATTGCTCCAACAGTTGATCTATTTTCACCAAGCTGCTTGGCAATTGCCCCGTAGCCCTTACCAGCCTTGTGGAGGTCCACAATTTTGTCTCTGGTGTCTTTTGACAGCTCTTTGGCTTGCCCATGGTAGTAGTTGGCATCTGACTGACTGTGGGGTGGACAGGTGTCTTTAAAAGCTCAGACAGGTGCTACTAAGTTAGATTAATGAGTGGAGTAGAGGTGGACTTTTTAAAGGCACAGTAACAGGTCTTTGAGAGCTATAATTTTTGCTGTTTCTTAGGTGTTCAAATACTTATGTTCAGCAGTGCAAATAAATTCTTTAAAAATCATACAATGTAATTTTCCGAATATTTTTTTTCTTTTAATTCTGTCTCTCAGAGTGGGAATGCACCTACAGTGTGAATTTCAGACCCCTCCATGGTTTCTAAGTGGGGGAACTTGCAAAATCGCAGGGTGTTCAAATACTTCTGTTTCTCACTGTACATTTAATTCAATAATGTAATCAAACCAAAAACACAGAAATTTGAAATACAGTGCTAAGTTCGCACATCGCTGAGCTTAGTAGCAAAATCGTTTTCAGTGTCTGATGATGAATTTCCCCACGAATCATTATCACTCAATTCTGCAAGTAGTTCTAATTTACTATCGCTGTTCTCTAGCTGATCTAAAACTGCTTTTGACCTAAAGGGATGCTTTTTGGACACCATGGACGTTTCTCAGTTTCCAGGCAGAAAGAACAGTAAAAATGCAGGCAGGGCCCAGGACAAAGCACTTGGGACAAAATGTATGTGAAATGATTTGATACAGTAATGTTTTACTATGTGATTTTAGTGTATTTAGTGAATGTCACTTTTAAAATGTTTTTAATTTCCCACCGGTTCCGTGCTCCGTACATCTCGACGCTTGCAGGGAACGGAACCCGGAAGACAGATGCCGGCATCGGACGGAGGAGATGGCCAGGGACGCTGCAGAGGGGACATCGTGGGAGCGAAGGACAAGGTAAGTGCAGGAGGGATCCCGAAGCAACGCTGCTGTGTAATCCCGAGTGTAGCTCGGGGTTACTGCTTTTGGTACTGAAAGTTTACCCGAGCTACACTCGGGAACACAGCCAGGGAGGTTAAGTCCTGTAAGTTGCAAGGTGGGACCTCCATGGATCGGACATGGAGAATTTGAAGGCCAGGTCAACTTGTCAAACTCAATGTTATGTTCCTCAAACCATTCTTGAATTTGTTAGACCAGTCCACCTTCTTCCATTGTTCACTGGTCCAGTTCTGATGCTCAAGTGTTAAAAACACATAGCAACATTAAATCCATTAGCCGCACCAAAATGTCATTATAAGGCTTCAGAGTTCTGTCAATACCCCCGATAGCTGCTCCTAATACTCTCTGCTAAAAAAAATAAATATAAACAATTGTGTGTGTATATATATATATATATATATATATATATATATATATATATATATATATATGTGTATACACACATACTCCATGGCTATCAAAGATACTGATAAAACTCTAAAGCCTTAGGGCTCATTCAGATGGGCGATAAAGCCTGTCCTCCTTGCAGATCCATTGGCAGACGTGTGTGTGTCCACCTTGGAACTGCATGCAGGCAGCCCATAGAAGTGGATGCACACGCTGCAGCTGCACAGACACAACTGCATGTCAAAGTTTGAAAAATGAAGGCAGGAGTGAGAGCATGGATCTGAATACAGAACCTCTGCCTGCATATCAAACTTTGATATGCAATTGTGTCTGTGTGTGTGCATCCACTTCTATAGGCTGTTAGCATGAAGCCCTGAGGTGAACGCACACACACATAAGACAGCAGCTCTGCACAGAGGACAAGCTTACTTGCCCATCTGAATAAGCCCTTTTAACCGCCTCCCGCCCGCCATGTAAGGAAATAACAGGTGCAAATTGGTTTCTCTCGTTCTGGGAGGACGTCATATGATGTCCTCCCAGTCTAACCGCGCATGCACGGCTCCAGGGACACGCAGCGCGGCGATCGGTGGTGCGCTGTGTCCCTCAGACACAGCAGATCACCGATCAACGGAAAGAGCAGAAGACGTCAGTTAAGTCATGTGATCAGCTGTGTCCAATCACAGCTGATCACATGTAAATAGGGAAATGCCGGTTATCGGCATTTCTTTCCTCATGAGCTCTCACACTGACAGCTTGAGAGGAGAGTCTGTAATCGGCATCCCTCAGAGGGGACATGTACACTGATCATCAGGGCACTGATGATCAGTGTGCCCTGATGATCAGTGTAGCCCCAGTGCCACCTGTCAGTGTCCATCAATGCCAGCTGTCAGTGCCCATCAGTGCCTACCAATGCACATCAATGCCACATCAGTGCACATCTGAGCTGCCTTTCAGTGTCACCTATCATGCCCGTCAGTGCCACCTAACAGTGCCAGTCAGTGCCACCTAACAGTGCCATATATGAGTGCTGCCTTTCAGTGCCCATCAGTGATGCCTGTCAATGCCCATCAGTGCCACCTACCAGTGCCTCCTCATCAGTGCCCATCAGTGCAGCCTCATTAGAGCACATCAGTGAAGGAGAAAAATCACTTATTTACAACATTTTATAACAAAAACTAAAAAACCATGTTTTGTTTTTCCAAAAATTTCAATTGATTTTGGTTTGTTTAGCAAAAAATAAAATACCCAGAGGTGATTAAATACCACCAAAAGAAAGCTCTATCTGTCTCAAAAGAAAACTACAAAATTTCATATGGGTACAGTGTTGCATGACTGCGCAATTGTCATTCAAAGTGTGACAAGATGAAAATTGGCCTGGACAGGAAGGGGGTATACGTGCCCTGCAGACAAGTGGTTAATGACATTCTGCTGCATCTGCTCAATTTGTAATGTTTCTGTTTTTAAAACACTTTTTGGTACAAGATATTTATTTTAAGCATATTTGTTTGTGGTTAGTGGTTTCTGCACCTTCAGGGCTCATGCACATAAGTGCACTTTACATAGAATCTTGCTAGCAGAACAATTCTGCATAAAATCTTGTCCATACACTGAATGCATGTAACATTTTTGCAAACGTTTACCTGCACACAGCATATAGCGCACATTGGATCTACTGGTTGCTAGGACACAGGTGGCTGTTGAAGAGTTGCCCAGTATCCCGTTACTAGAACACAGATGGCTTTTCAAGGAAGCCACCAAGCATCCTCTGTTGCTAGGACACGGGCAGCTTCTGTCATTGCTAGCGTGCAGGTGGATTCTGAAGGAACTCACCTAGTGACTTTTGTTGCTAGGGTGCAGGTGGCTTCTGAAGGAACTCGCGTAGTGACATTTGTTGCTAGGGTGCAGGTGGCTTCTAAAGGAACCCACCTAGTGTCTTTTGTTGCTAGGGTGCAGGTGGCGTCTGAAGGAAACCACCTAGTGTCTTTTGTTGCTAGGGTGCAAGTGGCATCTGAAGGAAATTACCTAGTGTCTTTTGTTGCTAGGGTGCAGGTGGCTTCTAAAGAAAACCACCTTGTGTCTGTTGTTGCTAGGATGCAGATGGCTTCAGGAGGAACCCACCTAGTGTTTTTTGTTGCTAGGGTACAGTGGCTCCTGAAGGAAACCATATAGTGTCTTTGGGTTGCTAGGGTGCAGGTGGCATCTAAAAGAAGCCACCTAGTGTCTTGTTGCTAGGGTGCAGATGGCTTCTAAAGGAACCCAGTGTCTAGTGTCTCAGGAGGAACCCTAGTGTCTAGGGTGCAGGATACAGGTGGCTCCTGAAGGAAACCACCTAGTGTCTTTTGTTGCTAGGGTGCAGGTGGCTTCTGAAGGAACCCACCTACCGACTTCTGTAGTGCCACCTTCTTTTGTTGCTAGGGTGCAGGTGGCTTCTGAAGGAAACCACCTACCGACGTAGGCCTTCTGTTGCTAGGTGTAGGAAGTAGGAAGCTACTATTGTTAGCATGCAGACAGCTTTGTTAGTGTACATTATTAGTGTTCATTTACACCATCTGCGGTTTCACAAATGTTAACATTCACATATAGAGTAAATTACACTAATATGCTCCTCTCTGAATGTGGATCCAAATACCACAATGTACATGGATAAATTGGCTGCAATACAGCTCTATTCAGATGCACAGAAAAAAAAATGGATCTGAAAGGTGCTTTTTTTGTTTTGTTTCTACATGTGTGTGCAAAGTCCTATTCAAACACATCATTTTCTACCCTTCCCATTCTGCCCACATCTAGAAAACAAACGTTTTGGGTGTTATATACACTACACTCTGCAGGGCTCTACAAATCAGTTCATTTCAGGGAATGTGACCCAGTGCAAGAATCCTCCACAACCCCAAATCATAGCAGACCTTGATGAACAGCCATAAACGTAACATCCCTTTATATAGTACACTAAGTTGGAACAAGTCTCTGTCAGCCTGTAGAAGCCATGCCTTCCAGTACAGCTACCTTCTGTTACTATGCTTCCAGTGCAGCTGCCTTCTGTTACTAGGCATGCTTCCAGTGCAGCTACCTTCTGTTACTAGGCATGCTTCCAGTGCAGCTAGGCATGCTTCCAGTGCAGCTACCTTCTGTTACTGGGCCCTTGCAGCTACCTTCTGTTACTAGGCATGCTTCCAGTGCTGTTACTACTAGGCATGCTTCCAGTGCAGCTGCCTTCTGTTACTAGGCATGCTTCCAGTGCAGCTGCCTTCTGTTACTAGGCATGCTTCCAGTGCAGCTTCCCTTCTGTTACTAGGGCATGCTTCCAGTGCAGCTGCCTTCTGTTACTAGGCATGCTTCCAGTGCAGCTGCCTTCTGTTACTAGGCATGCTTCCAGTGCAGCTGCCTTCTGTTACTAGGCATGCTTCCAGTGCAGCTGCCTTCTGTTATTGGGCAGATTACACAATAGTCCTGGTTTGCCATTTGTTATGAAGAGGTGCAATGTCTTTACCAGAAAGGTGCAGCTTTCCTGGGTAGTGCAATCCTTAGAACACAGCGCAGAAGCTGCTTAGTAGAACGGAGCGTACAGGACACAGCCATGTTGTTGTAGCCGCTGTCCCCTCCTCCCTCTACTAACCTGACAGACTTCCTGTATAATACAACCTCTGATTACTAATCACTGCCCCCTACAGGCACCTCATTTATCTGTCTGTATACCCAGGACACCGCTGTTACAGGAGACAACGGCAGTGGCAGCTACATGGCGACGTTCGGTGGGATTTTTCCGCGGCTGCATGGGATTGTGGTCCGCAGGAAATTTCAGTGTTGTGTGACGGTGCTCTGCCATGGCCTCCGTGTATTTGGCATCCTTGCTCCGGCAACGTCTCTCAGTCATTGCAGATACGTCCACTCATCGCCCGAGTGTTCCGCGAAGAACTATCTGCACAAGTTCTCTTCTAAAAACAAGTGAGCACAGCGACACCTACAGGTCACTCCGGGCACTGCAGTGTGGAGGGAAGAGTGCTGTGTGCTGTGTGCAGTGATCAGCTAGGCCAGGGGTCTCCAGACTTTCCAAACAAAAGGCCAGTTTACTGTCCTACAGATGTTTGGGGGGCTGGTCTGTGGTCATCAGGGTCAGAAATTGTCCTGGCATGAGTGGGATTAGGGGGAGGAATAGCATCCCATTGTCGGTGTCACTTGAAGGAATAGTACCCTGTCATTGGTGTCAGTGAGAGGAATAGTGCCCCATGATTGGTGTCAGTGAGAGGAATAGTGTCCCATCATTGGTGCCAGTAGAAGGAATAGTGCCGCATCATTGGTGTCAGTGAAAGGAATAGTGTCCCATCATTGGTGTCAGTGGAAGGAATAGTGTCCATCATCAGTTGTGTCCCATCATTGGTGTCAGTGGAAGGAATAGTGTCCCATCATTGGTGTCAGTGGAAGGAATAGTGTCCCATCATTGGTGTCAGTGGAAGGAATAGTGTCCCATCATTGGCGTCAGTGGAAGGAATAGTGTCCTGTCATTGGTATCAGTGGGAGGAGATAGTGCTCCATCATTGTTATCAGCGCCCCATTGTTGGTGTCACATGGAGGAATAGTACCTTGTCATTGGTGTCAGCGGGAGACATAGTGCCCCATGATTGGTGTCAGTGGGAGGAATAGTGCCCCATGATTGGTGTCAGTGAGAGGAATAGTGCCCCATGATTGGTGTCAGTGAGAGGAATAGTGCCCCATGATTGGTGTCAGTGAGAGGAATAGTGTCCCATCATTGGTGCCAGTAGAAGGAATAGTGCCGCATCATTGGTGTCAGTGAAAGGAATAGTGTCCCATCATTGGTGTCAGTGGAAGGAATAGTGTCCCATCATTGGTGTCAGTGGAAGGAATAGTGTCCCATCATTGGCGTCAGTGGAAGGAATAGTGTCCCATTGGTATCAGTGGGAGGAGATTGCTCCATCATTGTTATCAGCGCCCCAGTGGGAGGAATAGTACCTTGTGTCAGCGGGAGACATAGTGCCCCATGATTGGTGTCAGTGGGAGGAATAGTGCCCCATGATTGGTGTCAGTGAGAGGAATAGTGCCCCATGATTGGTGTCAGTGGGAGGAATAGTGCCCCATCGTTGGTGTCAGTGGGAGGAATGGTGCCCCATCGTTGATGTCAGTGGGAGGAATGGTGCCCCATCGTTGATGTCAGTGGGAGGAATGGTGCCCCATCGTTGATGTCAGTGGGAGGAATGGTGCCCCATCGTTGGTGTCAGTGTGAGGAAAGGTGCCCCATCGTTGGTGTCAGTGTGAGGAAAGGTGCCTCATCGTTGGTGTCAGTGTGAGGAAAGGTGCCTCATTGTTGGTGTCAGTGTGAGGAAAGGTGCCTCATCGTTGGTGTCAGTGTGAGGAAAGGTGCCTCATCGTTGGTGTCAGTGTGAGGAAAGGTGCCTCATCGTTGGTGTCAGTGTGAGGAAAGGTGCCTCATCGTTGGTGTCAATGAGAGGAATAGTGCCCGGTTGTTGTCACTAGCAGGAATTATGCCCCATTGTTGGTGTCAGTGGGAGGAAAAGTGCCCCAGGAGCCAGATAAAAGCAAACAAAGGGCCACAGTTTGGAGACCACTGAGCTAGTATATTACATGTACAACGATATGACTTGGGACTAGGGTTGCCACCTCATCCCTTTAAAACCGAACACATATTATTTACACAGGTTCTGTGGCTGATTAAGGTGGTAGTTAAACTCACTTAGTGCTTTATGTGCATTAAATTAGCCTCATTGCTTCCCAACAAGTCAACAAAGGACTTTGTCCTTTAGGCCTTATACCCACAGACACCTAGGGTTGCCACCTCATCCCTTTAAACCCGAACACATATTAACCACTTGCCCTCCAGAGGATTTACCCCCCTTCCTGACCAGGCTATTTTTTGTGATACGACGCTGCGTTACTTTAACTGACAATTGTGTGGTCATGCAACGCTGTACATAAATTAAATTTGTCCTTTTCCCCACAAATAGAGCTTTTTTTTTTTTTTTGGTGCTATTTCATCACCTCTGCGGTTTTTATTTTTTTTGCGCTATAAACAGAAAAAGACTGATAATTTTGAACCCCCCCCCCCCCAATATTTTTGACTTTTTGCTATAAAACATATCCAGTAAAAAAAAAAAAAAATCTAATTTCTTCATAAGTTTAGGCCAAAATGTATTCTTAATAGTTAGTCTGGCTGAAAAAAAGACAAAAGTCCATCCAGTTCAACCATTCTTCTGCTACATGTCTTTGCGAAAAAAAAATCCCAATACATGTAAATTAATTGGTTTACTTGAAAGTTATAGCGTCTACAAATGGCGGTATATATATACTGAGATTTCTTTTTTTTTTTATACTAGTAATGGCGGCGATCAGCAACTTATTGCGGGACTGCTGGACTGCGGCAGGCATTCTGACACTGGGTGGGAATTGACTAACTGCCACTGACATCCCCAGTGACACTTATACAGTGATCAGTGCTAATAAAAAGCAATGACACTGTACTAATGACACTGGGCAGGAAGGGGTTAACATCTGGGGTGATCAAAGGGTTAACTGTGTGCTGTTTTACTGTGTGTGCTGTGTGTGTTTTACATTATGTACTGTGTGTAGAGAAATACACAGCAGCATGTGCTTGCTGGCAGAAGAGAGACCTGTGTTGTTTACACACAGGTCTCTCCCCTGTCAGTGTTACTTGGCGATCTCTGGGACCAGGTGATTGACGTGCCTAGCTGCCAATGGCGGCACGCGCATGCCCCCCTACCCAGAAATGCACATCACACACATATATATATATATATATATATATATATATATATATAATGTGATTTTGCACAGCCCGGCCTTCCTGTAGCAGTAGTTCTACTATAGAGCAGCAGGGAAGTGGTTAATTGCACGGTTCTGAGGCTAATTTATTCCAAATAAGACACTTATGCAGGCCATAGATGGGTCGAAAATTGGCCAATTTAAAAAAAAAAAAAAATTGGGCGTTCAATCGGCCGACGTTACCACCAACGATAAAAAAAATTGGCCGATTTTTGTCCCATCTATGGCCAGCATTATGGGCAGCATTGACTCCATAACTTCTGTCCCTTGCAGAGGGGAGCACACCATATATGACAGCAATACATAAGAAGAATAAGAATAAGAAGAAGAATTAGAATAAAAATAAGAGAATTCCAGTCCGCTATTATATTTTATATGAAAAAGTCTTGTGTTTGCAACAAATGTATCCATTTGTATCCAAATAAAAACATTTGTATCCAAATAATGTATTACAATGTTTTTTTAAAACATTGTAATACATTAGTTGGATACAAATGGATACATTTGTTGCAACTGCAAGGCTTTTTCATATAAAATATAATAGCGGACTAGAATTCTTCTTCTTTCTTCCTTCTTCTTCTCCTTCTTCCTTCTTCTTCTCCTTCTTCCTTCTTCTTCTCCTTCTTCTTCTCTTCTTCCTTCTTCCTCTCCTGCTTCCTCTCCTTCTTCCTCTTCTTCTTCTTCCTTCTTCTTCTTCCTTCCTTCTTCTTCTTCTTCCTTCTTCTTCTTTCCAGGTCACTGCTCATGCGCAGATTTTTTATCGGTAAAACGATCGGCCGATTTGTCTATCATTGCCAGGAAAATCGTCCTATTGTCAAAATCGGCTGCAAATGTTCCAACATGCACCATGCAAAAAAATGTGCAAAAAGCCCAAAAAATGGGCAACCAATTAACTCACTAACGTGTGAAAATCAGCCGATTTTTTTTTTTTTTTTTTTTTTTTTTTTTTTTTTTTTTCCGACTGAAAAACCGGCCAATTTCGACCCGTCTATGGCCGGCATAAGTAAGTTACATTACCACCTTAATCAGCCACAGAACCTGTGTAATTAATCTGTGTTCAGTTTTAAAGGGATGAGGAGGGAACCATACAGACAACTGGGGCTGTGCAAAGTAAAATCCAGGTGTACTTCCCTACCGTGGAGCTACAGGTGCTGCATACAGTTGCCTATAAAAATCAATATGCAGGTATACGCCTATATTTGCCCATACATATGAGTGTGAATGTACGTCTCTGGATAAAGTATCCAGGGCTGTACAACCATATTGGAAGCACGTGTTTATTCAGAAATGGTGAAAACTTGTTTATTCAAGCCATTGATTTCTATGTCGTCAGTACACAGCACCTGTGGCTTTCAGGTGAGGAAAAGCACCCAAATTTTACTTTGTGTGGTCCCAAGTTCCTGTGTGCATGTACTATTCTTATTGTACAGGATTTATATAGCACCAACAGTTTACACAGCGTTTTACAACATAATGTATGAATTTTGTAAATGCTATATATAAAACAGATGTGCATATTGTAATAAACAAAAATACATTTCGATATGCAGCAGTAGTGTTTTAAAAAAAGAAAACACAGTAATACACAGATGATGGACAATCCATGTAGAATCAGTACACAGCAGTCACATTTATAAACCATACACAGATCTCTTGCCAATATCATGGTAGAAACAAAATGTAAAAGGCAGTCCTCCCAGTCAAGGAGTAGAAAGAGGGGACAGTTGAGCATAGAGAGCTGTCGATGGTTTAGGAAGGTCCTCACATAGGAGCATGTTTTCGAGAGGGTCCATCTGAAGGGCAATAGGATGGGGAAATTGGGCCATGGCAGCATGCCATAGGTGAAGGTAGTGGAACAAGGTAGTTCAGCAGATCATAAAGACGTTTTAAGGTCATTGAATGGTAGAGGGGTGCCTCTGGGCATAATATGTCTGAGAGTTTTAATTCCACTTCTAGCTCATAGAGCTGGGTCTGGTATGGAGAAAAAATGTGGAAGGGTCAGATTACCCCACAACAGAATGTGGGGTGAGTCGACCCCAGGGAAAAATATTGAACCCTAGCCTGTGCCCATACCTGAAGTGTCATTTTCATCGATACTGTAACATCAGGATTAGAGGAAGGGCCCTTGAAAGCCAAATTGCTAAGCTTGGCATAGGAGCCCAACAAGACTGCCTCCAGTATGACAGCAGCATTATCTTGGGGCTGAGAGTACCACCACCTGACAGTGACAAGAACTGCGGCCCAGTAGTACCACAGAAAATTTGTGAGCACCAGGCCTCCACAATTAATGGGAAGGTGAAGAGTAGAGCATGAGATCCTAGCAGTTCCACCAGCCCAGAGAAATGAGGTAGATAGAGTGCCTTGAAAAAGTAGTCATACCCTTTGAAATTTTCCACATTTTGTCATGTTACAACCAAAAACGTAAATGTATTTTATTGGGATTTTATGTGGTAGACCAACACAAAGTGACACATAATTGTGAAGTGGAAGGAAAATGATAGATGGTTTTTAAAAAGTTTTACAAATAAATATGTGGAAAGTGTGGCGTGCATTTGTATTCAGCCCCCCTGAGTCAATACTTTATAGAAGCACCTTTTGCTGCAATTCCAGCTGCAAGTCTTTTTGGGGATGTCTCTACCAGCTTTGCACATCTAGAGAGTGACATTTTTGCCCATTCTGCTTTGCAAAATAGCTCAAACTCTGTCAGATTGGATGGAGAGCATCTGTGAACAGCAATTTTCAAGTCTTGCCACAGATTCTCAATTGACTTTAGATCTGGACTTTGACTGGGCCATTCTAACACATGAATATGCTTTGATCTAAACCATTCCATTGTAGCTCTGGCTGTATGTTTAGGGTCGTTGTCCTGCTGGAAGGTGAACCTCCACCCCAGTCTTAAGTCTTTTGCAGACACTTAAGAGATTTTCTTCTAAGGTTACCCTGTATTTGGCTCCATCCATCTTCCATCAACTCTGACCAGCTTTCCCTGTCCCTGCTGAAGAAAAGTATCCCCACAACATGATGCTGCCATCACCATGTTTCATGGTGGGAATGGTGTATTCAGGGTGATGTGCAGTGTTAGTTTTCCGCTACACATAGTATTTTGCTTTTAGGCCAAAAGGTTCAATTTTGGTCTCATCTGACCAGAGCACCTTCTTCTACATGTTTGCTGTGTCCTCCACATGGCTTCTTGCAAACTGCAAACAGGACTTCTTATGGCTTTCTTTCAACAATGGCTTATTGCCACTCTTCCATAAAGGCCAGATTTGTGGAGTGCACAACTAATAGTTGTCCGGTGTACAGATTATCCCACCGGAGCTGTGGATCTCTGCACCTATGGATCTATGTCAGTTTTGCTGGACTGCCATGTCTTGGTAAGTTTGCAGTTTTGCCATACTCTTTCCATTTTCGAATGATGGATTGAACAGTGCTCCGTGAGATGGTCAAAGCTTCTGATATTTTTTTAAACCTAACCCTGCTTTAAACTTTACAACTTTATGCTTGACCTATCTGGAGTGTTCCTTGGCCATCATGATGCTGTTTGTTCATTAATGTTCTCTAACAAACCCCTGAGGGCTTCACAGAACAGCTGTATTTATACTGAGATTAAATTAGGTGATTTCTGAAGGCAATTGGTTCCACTAGATTTTAGTTAGGGGTATCAGAGTAAAGGGGGCAGAATACAAATGCATGCCATACTTTTCAGATATTTATCTGTAAAAAATTTTGAAAACCATTTATCATTTTCCTAACACTTCACAATTATGTGTCACTTTGTGTTGGTCGATCACATAAAATTCCAATAAAATACATTTACGTTTTTGGTTGTGACATGACAAAATGTGGAAAATTTCAAGGGTTATGAATACTTTATCAAGGCACTGTAAATTCTGTTTCCAGTGGTATGGTGTGCAGCCCTCTGGCTCTGAGTTTGTACCCTGACAAGTCTAACAGAAGATGAGTTCCACATTCAGCTCAACACAGAACGTCAAACAGCAGCTTCTTTTATGTCCTGTACTCCTTTGTACACCTCAGTAGGAAGTGATCCATGAAAGTACCATCATATTTACACTTATTGTAGAGTATGTGAAATCGTGGTCCTTGTGTGATTTTTTTTTTTTTTTTTTTTTCCTTTGGTGTGAGAATTAGGCCTGGGGTCCAGATGTTTGATGCTTGACAAATCTGAAATGTGTGTGTTTTTATTAAGTATTAAAGGATTTGTTTTTCTTAAACAGAAAAAGACTTTGGCATGAAGGCACTTGGCATCTTCCCGTGGTACGTATTATGTTGAGGCCTTATTTTGCACTTTTATTTTTACAGCTCATTTATACAGCTGTGCAGATTTATTGCGCATTTATGGTGTGGTACATATAAAATGACGTACAGTTGTGTCACTTGTGTTCGTATGCACAACATCATTGTTACATTGTTCATGCCTGATAACTTTGGGGGAATGCCCAGTGAATCAAAGCTCTGCCCTAAAAGAGTGACTCCACTTTTGTTGAGGAAAGAAACAAACCCCTTTGGGTGATCAATGTACATTGCAGGGATTTTAAATCTTAAATCGGCACTAAAAAATATCTCTTACAGTGGGGCTGTGCCCCCAAAATGTTAATTGCTCATTTTTAAGTCTAGGGGAACAGAAACAATAAAATTTACTTACCCGATCCTCCATCTATAGAAGCAGCTAGACTGGTCCCCACAGCGCCTTCTTCCCCATGCTCTAGTGGTCTAGGATCCTGGCATGATCAAGACCAAAGCATGGTCTATAGACCTGCACTGGAAATGTTGACATTGAGTGGCAGTCTACCACTGAAGATTGGGGGAGCACCATCTGTCAGAGAGAGAGAGGATAAGGTAAGTAAAAATGTTCCTCCTCTCCATTAGACAAAGCTAGTATCTAACCCTGGCAGCTTCGCCCAATAATTAACCATTTTCCCTGGGTTGGTCTTTAAAGTGGTTTTAAAGCCAAAATGTTTTTTTACCACAATGGCTGGCATTAAGGTAAAAAATACACAGAAGGGAGAAGAAATACAGCACTGTGCATGGCTGCATCTCTTCTCTCCTCTTCTTCTTCACACAGGGTCCGCATTCCTCTGTGCGGGTGGTGCGGCTGCACAGATTTTCGTGCAGATCCACAGCGGCACCACCCGCACAGATGTGAACCTAGCCTTACAAGAATTCAACTACAAGTGAGTCTTATTATTATACAGGATTTATATAGCACCAACAGTTTGCTCAGCACTTTACAATATAAAATTATTCAATAAACAGGTGTCCAGCAGACAGTTGATTATAAAAGGGCGTTACTTAACAAAGAAAACCCCTTCCCATTTCATGCTGTCAGCAATGGAACCACATGGAAGAGAAATGTCACAAGGTCTGCAAAAGAAAATAATTTCTTTACACAAGAAAGGTGATGGCTACAAGAAGATCAGCAAAGCTTTACTTATCAGTCAGAATACTGTAGCAAAAGTGATACAAAAAATTTAACAAAGATGGAACTGCAGCCAACTCAGAGACATCCAGGCCATCCATAGAAGTTAACACCTTGACAGGAGTGTCTTCCGATGAGAGAGATTGAAGAAAATCACCATGCAAGTTCACTGCAGTTAGCTAGAGAAGTAGAAAGCCAAACTGGGGTGTTTGTTTTCATGACACAATATGGCATACACTGCTGAGGAAAGGCAAGCATGGGTGTCATCCACGAAGGAAGCTTCTCCTAAAGCCCATGAACAAAAAATCCTGCCTAGAATTTGCCAGGGCCCAGGCTGAAAAAAAAGAAGATTACTGGGATTCTGCACTCTGGAGTGATGAGACCAAGATAAATGTTTTTGGAACTGATGGCTTCAAAACTGTCCTGCTGTGGGGCTGCATGAGTGCTGCTGGTGCCATGGAGCTGCATTTCATTGATGGTATCATGAATTCACAGATTTACTGCTCTATATTGAAAGAGGAGATGCTACCATCACTCTGTGTCCTTGGTCATCATGCACTTTTCCAACATGACAATTATCCAAAAAAACACATCTAAGGCCACTGTTGAATTTCTGAAGAAGAACAGGGTGAAAGTGATTCAGTGGCCAAGTATGTCTCCTGATCTGAATTCAATCGAAACACCTAAGGGGAATTCTGAAGAGCCAAGTTGAGCATCACTCTCCATCCAGCATCCAGACTCTGAAAGATCGTTCTTGAAGAATGGAAAAAGATAGATGTTGCAATACATCACCAACTTCTTCATTCCATGCCTAGACTTGTTGCTGTCCTTACAAATCATGAAGATCATACAAAATACCAATGTTTTTGTTGTGGGGTGTATTCATTTCTGTATCAACTAATTTGAGTAAAACTGAAGATTTTGTGATGTAAGTTATATTCTTAACCTTACTTTCATGTAATGAGCTAAACAAATGCTCTAAAAAAATTTAGAAATTGTTCTTGTGTTCATTGATATATTGAATAAAATCTTACTTTCAAAAGGGTGTAAAGGGTGTACTCATTTATGCTGAGCACTGCAGCTCTTAAAACCAAACAATATGGTGCCTATTTATTTATAGACCTTATAAATATATTTAAAAAAAAACAGTTCATTGAATATATTTAATCTCCACAGCTAACAGTGACACCCCCCCCTTTCCCCCCAGAGTATGCCTATAAACTCAAACAATGCCTTTGACAATTCTTCCATAATGTTACTTAACAGACTACTAATGAACAGGGATCTGCTAATGAAGCCTATCATATACCCCATCTCGACCTGATATGTCATAAATAGCTTGGCTTTAGATAATATGCATCTTTTTCTCCTCACAGAAAGAGGAGTTTACCACATATTGTAAATGTTTTAGTGTAGGTTCACATCTGTGAGTGAGGAATGTATGCAAAATCATTTGTGTTCCCCACCTACAGAAAAATGTGCTGCACTTTAGCAGATGCTTGGGTGTGCTACAGCACCATGCAATTCAGTGCAGTGTTATTTAACCACTTGCCTACCGGGCACTTATACCGCCTTCTTTACCAGGCCAATTTTCAGCTTTCAGCGGTGTCACACTTTGAATGACAATTGCACGGTCATGCAAGATTGTACCCATATGAAATTTATATCATTTTTTTTCTCACAAATAGAGCTTTCTTTTGGTGGTATTTAATCGCCGCTGGGCACTTTACTTTTTGCGCTATAAACAAAAAAATGCAAAAAAAAAGTTTATTTCTATTAAATTTTTCAAACAGGTAATTTTTATCCTTCACTGATGTGCGTTGATGAGGCAGCACTGATGGGCACTAATAGGCGGCACTAATGGGCACTGATAGGCAGCACTGATGGGAACTGATAGGCAGCACTAATGAGGTGGCACGGATAGGCAACACTGATAGGCAGCACTAATGAGGTGGCACGGATAGGCGACACTGATAGGCAGCACTAATGAGGTGGCACGGATAGGCGACACTGATAGGTGGCACTGATGACTGGCATCACTGAATGGCGGCACCGCTGGGCACTGACTGGGACAACCGCTGGGCACTGACTGGCACAACCACTGGGCACTGACTGGTAGCACTGCTGGGCTGCACTGGTGGGCACAGGTGGGTGGCACTGGTGGGCACAGGTGGGTGGCACTTCTGGGCACAGGTAGGTGGCATTGCTGGGTGGCACAGGTGGGCGGCATTGCTGGGTGGCACAGGTGGGCGGAACTGGTGGGTGGCACTGCTGGGCACTGATCATCAGTGCCCAGATGATCAGTGCCGATCCCTGCTCTGACAACTGCCGGTTCTCGGCAGCACTTTCCTCACGCTTTGACAGCGTACCGGCAATTGCATTTTCCAGTGATCAGCGTGTCATTGGACACGGCTGATCACTTGGTAAAAGGCCGCTGTAATTGGCCTTTTACCACGTTACATGATCAGCTGTGTCTGTAGGAGAGCGTGTTCTGGGAGGACGTCATATGATGCCCTCCCAGAACTGGCCAGCTGCAGTGTAGCCATCATTCGGCTATCTGCGGTCGGCAGGTGGTTAAAGAAAGGGTCAGGAACCTCTTTCCCCCACGTTTTCTCTGCCTGCGATGTGCATGCGCAATCGCACACACATTTGAACGGAGTTTTAAGCAAGTAGTGGAATGCAGAATCAATATGTCTTGGCTGAGCTAAAAATCTATACATAATTCATATCTTCTTTTGGGATTAAATTAGGTTAAAGCGGTATTTAACTTTTTTTTATACTTTTACCTACAGGTATGCTTATAATAAAGCTTACCTGTAGGTAAAATTAATATCTCCTAATTGTGCACCGTTTATTAGGTATCCCCTCACCCAATCCTCAGACCTCTTGTTTGGTCAAGTCGTTTCTATCATCATCCTCCTGAAGGTCCAGGCATCAGCAGTCTGGCACTTTTTACCATTGAAAAGGAGAACATCTGTTGAGTTTTATTTCTGGAGAGTCAAAACTCAGGTCCCTTTTACTGAACTTTCCTGGGTAGCAGAAGTCAGATCTGACACCACTGTTGGTACACTAACTCTTCTTCACTTTATCCAAAATGAAAAAGATTTTGGTTGGAGGTTTTATTACTTGGAAAGCACTGGGTTTTTTTTATTATACAAACAGAAAAATATCTTTACTCTGTTGACCAGCAATGGAAAGTTTTTTTTCTTTTGCTTTTTATTAGCTAGATTTCTGCATATGTTTAGTTGGCTTCAGTGCCTATTTTGTGTTCACTTGTAGGAAAACAAGCCACCTGGTTTACTGGCCTTGATGAAACAGCAGAAGACAGAAAAGAGAGAAAATAATGTTCGTATTAAGACTCTAAATGTGATCATGTATCATGCGTTAACTGGCCTGTTGGGAACATCAGAAGTCAGTGAGGAGGTTAATGAATTGTGTATTGAACTATCAAAGGTATTGTAAATGAATCTCATATTGCTTATCGGTGTGCATCACTTTTCTTTTTATTCCGTGTCCTTTTGTAATCTTTGAATGGAGCTAGATTTTGTGTGTTTTATGTTGTAGGTATCTGTATCTTCAGACTTTTCTGTCTGTCGAGCGTATTGGTTGAGCAGTGGCAACAAAGACACTGATGCTGAAATTGACACAGTACTTCAGAAGCATGCTCCACGATTTAGGTATTTGCTATTTCCTTTACGCAGCCTCTTCACTAGATAATAAAATCTTGTCATTCAAAAATGCCATGTAGCCAAAATTTCTATTCAATTGTAGTTCCTACTAGTAGCATCCTCTATATGTCATGTGTTCGGAAGAAATCTGAGCTATAGAGATCCAGAACATAGGTTTGTTTTTCTTACTTTTGGACAAAAATTAGATTCCCTTGAGTATGACCTCACAGGTTAAGATTGTTTCATGACCACCTCCATTACATTGACCACGTTGGTAGAATACTGTATTAAAACTGAATTCTAGGTATGGGCTTTTTTGCATAGCTACTTTGGTCCAGCTTGAACCAGAGTAAGTGTACAAATTTCATACCTGGAAGATCCCTGTGGAAGTAAAGAATTACTGTGATCGCTCTGCTACTACAGGGATCTTCGCAGTTTCTTGTAGGTCCTGAGGAGGTTGTGATGTCACCGCTCTACCTCTCCACCTTTTCCAGTCAGAAAATTCTTTGCGTTCATTGAAAAAAATACAAGGCATTCCTCTGAATGGCACCTGTGCCCAGCAAGTGACCACCTTTTGGTTACTAAGCTGTGGAGAAGCCTCTCAGCACAGGATCCAGAAGACAGAGGGTGATCACTGTAGTGGTGGCTGCTGCATTGATTGTCCTTTTCCACATGGATCTGCCAGGTATGGAACATTTATATGTATATTGGTCCAAAATAGACCAATGTAACTATGCAAAAAAAATACCTGGAATTCAGCTTTAAGTAAATTGGGAATACTAATGCCCATAATAGAAAGACTGAGCTAAAGTGGGAGTAATTAGTAACAGATGTTTATAAGAATGGCTCTTGGTAATGTGGACATTACTTTCATATCCTACAGCTGAACAGTGTGCAGTGAAATTGGACTAAGCTATTTCAGTAAAGTGAAGGCACTGGTACAACTGTGCCAAACGGGCTAGAGTTCAGCATTAACTTTAGTGAAGTTAGTGAATGGATTGAAATTTGTAATGTTCATGTGGCCTTCCAACCATCATAACTGTGTTCCTTTCAGACACCCACTTGCTAATGAAATATATGGTGTTTAATAACAACAATAATAATAATAATGAAAGTATACCTACTCTGCTACATGTAACAAAAAAGAGTGGAGGAGAAACACAAGGAAGGAGGTAAGCTGACAAAAGTACTTGCAGTGATTTGGTCGTGGGGAGGGTGGGTGGGTAAGACAATACTGTATATGCTAGGGGGCGCTTTGTAAGGAAAGGAGGACTTGTGCTGGGGGAGGGTTGGGTCAGGTTTCATATCTAACACCTCTTCTAGCACAAGTCCTCTTTCCTCCTAAAGTGCCCCCTAGCACATATAGTATCCCCTTCTTACCCACCCTGCCCCACGCCCAAATCAAAGAGATGCTGGCTGCTACACGGGACCGTCATGGCATCTGGGCACCCTTCTAGAGATGTGGGGCAACCCTAGGTCCCCACACTAGTACATTAGTGCCCCCCTACCAGGCAAGTTAAGGGAGCCTGGGAGAGATTTGAAGAGGGGAAAGAAGGGTTTATGTTGGGATGGGGGAGAAAGAGAGGGTTTTTTTGCTGTGATGGGGGTGGTGGGGAATATGGATTTGTGCTAGAAGTGGGAAAAGATTTACACTAGGAGAAATATTTGTACTAGAAGGTGGATTGGGGGGGAGAGGATTTGTGCTGGGGTATTTAGGAGAGGGGAAATTTAGTACCAGTTCAGCACAGCTCAAATTTTCAGTTCTGGTTGACATTCTTCACGCTGCGCCGTATTACATTATCTGCAATGTTAGGGAGGTACCAGCGAGGATGTAGACAGTGGGGATGGGGGGTTGTACTGTGGAGGAGAGGGGAGGGGGCTGGCAGGAGGACGGTGGTGGGGGGGCACCAAAATGCACCTTCACTTGTGTAGTCAAAAATCCTTGCATCGGCCCTGATCTTATGACTGCACAATAGAAGTGTACAAAAGTCTGAATTACACCTTAAGCCAATCTGCAGACAAGAAGTTGTTCCCAATCCCCACTATACCATAAGAAAACCCTGTTTTATTTTTATACTAGCCTTACCTGTAAAGCTTTGTTCAGGTCTAAGTGAAATCACCCCTCCGCATCCCAAGGCCTGAAGATCTTCCTGCTCCAGCTACACAAGGAAAAGGAGACTGCAGAGCTACATCGATAGACAAATCTTGCAGAACTAGCGAGGAAGCTCTAGGGAGGCAGGTCACCCAGTGCACTGCCAGCCAGCTTGGGCGATGAGAAGTGCTCTTGCTGCTACATATAGCATGCAGTATTTTTTAATGAATTTACAGAGCCGAGGACAACTTGAAGAGGTATAATAAAGTATGAGCACTGGCTTGAGTATAAGAAGCAAGAACTAGCATTAGGGCAGTTCACGCAGCTATGCCTATTCAATATAGAGAAAACCATTTTCCAGCAATAAGTCTGCAGTTCATTCTGAAAACTTACATTGGCCCTTTACTGTCAGCTTATGGATCCGGGAAGCCATAACAAAACCAGATATCCATATACAAAATATATATTTAAAGCAAGTGTATTTGTGGGTTTACAAACTCATTTTAAGCAGCACTAAGGTCATCAGTACAAATTCCAACCACGGCACTACCTGCACGGAGTTTGCATGTTTTCTCTGTGCCTGCGTGGGTTTCCTCCGGGTATTCCAGTTTTCTTCCACACTCAAAAGACATGCTTGTAGGTTAATTTGCTCCTGTCTAAATTGGCCCTAGTATGTGTATGTATGAATATGAGTTAGGGACCTTAGTTTTTAAGCTTCTGGAGGGCAGGGACTTATGTGAATGTACAATATATATGTAAAGTGCTGCGTAAATTGACAGCGCTATATAATTACCTATAATAATACCGAAAGTATAACTTTTTTGTGATTGGCATGAGAAAAGGACATACAGGTACATATTGTCTTTGGAATAGAGCGTTGTACTATTCGCTATAGCATTAAGTTTAATTGTTTTGGTTTTCAATACATTGTAATTTCATGGGTTTTTTTTTAAAGGCATCTCATGATAAGCCATCATGTTCTTGGCAAAGTTCCACCAGTTGTGTTTCTGAGAGACAAAGAAGATGCCAAGAGGCAAGAGGTATGTGAAATAAACCACATCAGTTAAAGCGGAACTGCAGTGGGAAAAATAATTATTTTATCCCCTGCAGATTTTGTAACTTTTCCCACTTACAAAGAAATGGAGGGTCTATAATTTTTATCATAGGTGTATTTTAAATGATAGAGATGGAATATCAACCAAAAATCCAGAAAAAAATTGTGATATAAATAGTGTGTATATGTGTGTGTATGTATATGTGTGTGTATGTATATGTGTGTATATATGTGTATGTGTATATATATATATGTATATGTGTGTATATATATATATGTGTATATATGTATATATATATGTGTGTGTGTATATATATATATATATATATATATATATATATATATATATATATATATATATATATATATATATTGAGTTGCAGTTCAGTGAGTAAAATAAGTATTTGAACCCCAACAAAACATGACTTAGTACTTGGTAGAAAAACCCTTGTTGGCAAGCACAGAGGTAAGACATTTCTTGTAGTTGGTTACCAGGTTTGCACACATCTCAGGAGGGATTTTGGTCCACTCTTCTTTACAAATCTCTAAATTCTTAAGGCTTCTTGGCTGTCACTTGGCAACTCAAACTTTTAGCTCCCTCCATAAATTTTCTATAGGATTAAGGTCTGGAGACTAAGCCACTCCATGACCTTAATGTGCTTCTTCTTGAGCCACTCCTTTGTTGCCTTGGAGGTATGTTTTGGGTCATTGTCCTGCTGGAAGACCCATCCACGACCCATCTTCAGTGTTCTGGCTGAGGAACGACGGTTCTCATCCAAGATTTTACAATACTTAGCCCCTTCCATTGGCCTCTCAGTGCGGCAAAGTCAGCCTTTACCTTTAGCAGAGAAACAGCCCCAAAGCATAATGTTTCCGCCTCCCTGCTTGACTGTAGGGATGGTATTCTTAGGGTCATAGTCAGCATTTGTCTTCCTTCAAACACTGCGAGTCGAGTTATTGCCATAGAGCTCAATTTTGTTTTCCTCTGACCACAGCACTTTCTCTCAATCCTTCTCTGAATCATTTAGATGTTCATCGGCAAACTTCAGACAGGTCTGTACATGTGCCTTCTTAAGGAGGGGAACCTTGCGGGCGCTGCAGGATTTCAATCCATGGAGCTGACTTGTGTTACCAATGGTTTGTTTGGTGACTGTGGTCCCAACTGCCTTGAGATCATTCACAAGCTCCTCCCGTGTAGTTCTGGGCTGATCCCTCACTTTTCTCATGATCATCCTTACCCCATGAAGTGAAATCTTGCATGGAGCTCCAGACCGATGGCGATTGATGGTTATTTTGTATTTCTTCCATTTGCGAAAAATCGCTCCAACAGTTGTCTCCATCTCACCAAGCTTCTTGCTGATGGTCTTTTAGCCCATTCCAGCCTTGTGCAGGTCTACAATCTTGTCCCTGATGTCCTTTGACAGCTCTTTGGCCTGCCAAAGACAAGATGAGGTTTGAATGAAAGAAAGAGATTCTGTGGGCAGGTGTCTTTTATACACATAACAAGTTTTCGTTAGGAGCACCTTCTTAAATTGACAATATTAATCTGTGTACCACATGAGCACACAGCCAGTCTGTGGGAGCCAGAATTTTTGTTGGTTGGTAGGGGATCAAATACTTATTTTAACCACTGAACTGCAACTCAATTTATAACATTTGTATCGTGTTTTTTTCTAGATTCTTGGTTGATATTCTGTCTCTATAATTTAACCACTTGCCCTCCAGAGGATTTACCCCCCCTTCCTGACCAGGTAATTTTCTGCATTACAGCACTGCGTTACTTTAACTGACAATTGCGTGGTCATGCAACGCTGCTCCCAAATGAAATTTACGCTTTTTTTTTTTTCTTCCCATGAATAGAGCTTTCTTTTGGTGGTATTTGATCACCTATGCTTTTTTTTTTTTTTTACTTTTTGCGCTATAAACAAAAAAAAAACCCGACAATTTTGAGAAATAAACAATATTTTTGACTTTTTGCTATTAAACATGTCCAATAAAAAAATTTTAAAAATCAAATTTTGTCAAATTTAAATGTATTCTGCTACGTCTTTGCTAAAAAAAAATGTTACTACGTGTAAATTAATTGGTTTACGCTGTGCTGTCTCACATGTGCTGTGTGTGTGCTTTAAACTGTAAGCACACTGCTTTGTATGGCTCTGCTATACAGAGCCATACAATGCAGTGTGCAGGAGCGGACGGGAGAGAACTGTATTGTTTACATACAGTTCTATCACCGAGTGCCAGGGAGTAATCGCCGTCCTGGAACCCGGTGATTGACAGCCATGGCGGCATGGTAGGGAGCGCGCTGCTCACACGCCCTCTACCTAGAACTGAAAAATCACTTATATATATGTGATTGTTCGCACCTGTGCCACCCTGTAGCAGTATTTCTTTGTAAGTGGACAAATTTACAAAATCTTCAGTGGATCAAACAATTATTTTCCCCACTATATACTCGACTCTACTCCAGCTGAGATGACGTCACTCCTGCAGTTTCCAACGTTGTACATTGAATTGCACATACATAGCTCAGTGCACAATGTAAACGAAGATATGAATATTTGAATGTAGAGGAGACATTATATGTCTCTTCTGTATTAAAAAAGCTTGCCTGTTCACAAACGTTCAAGTTCCACTTTGAAATGGTTCTAAAGCCTTAAAGTGTTACTAAATCCAGGACACTTTATTCACTATATCTGGTCTCCCACAGTACACAGAACATGGAAGAACAATTATTTTAGTAAATATAAACTGCTAAATACCCTTTCTCATCAGCAGTTATAGCAGTCTTGTGACTTTTATCCGTGTTCAGCAGAGGACATGTTAAAGCTTGTAGGAGGAGTTTTCTTTCTGCTCTAGGAGGATGCAGGGAACCCTGACCCTCTGTCTGGACAGTGCTGATTGGCCTTGTGCTGATCACATGCACTCTCCCAAGAAAAAAACCCTTCTCCATCAATACACACCATACGGAGTGCAGAGTGTCTCCACGCGATATATCTTATCAGAAGATAAGAGGAGGCACTGGAAAAAGGGGAGGCTCAGAAAAGTCAGGATCAAACAGCATTTTTACACAATGCAGAGGATTAACCCTTTAGGTTCCACAGTGACTATATCAAGCATGCTTTAATGCATATACAGACTGATTTTACTGTAGTGGGTTTATTAACACTTTAAGGTAGATTGCATTAAAAAAAACACCTGTGCCTGGGATTTCTCTCAGCCCCCCCCTCCTCTTATACTTACCTGAGCCCCATCATGATCCAGTGCTGTGCATGTGAGCAGCGGCTATTTCTGCTCTGTCCCTCCTCACAGGGCCATTGGCTCCCACTTCAGTCAATCAAACCCTGTGACGGGGTGGGGCTGTGCCCCACTGTGTCTATGGACACAGGCAGTAGGGCTCAGGAGCGAGCCCATACGAGTGCCCCCATAGGAAGCTGCTTTCTATGGGGATAGTGGCTAAAGAGGAGGAGCCAGGAGGGCCAGCAGGGCACTAGAGAAGAAGAGAATCGGAGTTGCTTTGTGCAAAACCATTGAACAGAGCAGGTAAGTATAAGATGTTTGTTATTTTAATTAAACTAAGCTTTACAGTCACTTTAAAGATGAAGTATAAGCAGATATAAAAGTACAAACTTAGTGCAGTGCTTTGTTAAAACTTCAAGAAGTTAATTTAATGATGTCTACCTTTTTGGTGTTTGGATGCTCTTGTTTTGGTGTGATATTGGATGCGGACCCATTAAGGGAAATTCTGCCCTTTGAAAAACAATACTGCATTTTTTTTTTTTTTAAATGTAAGTGATGCAAGTTACTCCAGAGTGAAAGGTGAGGGTAAATCATCCAATAAGGACAAATGTGTTGACAGCTAAGATAGAAATCCCCTTTTTAGGTGATTTTCTCATTTCCTGATGTGTCTCAAAGATGGGAGGAGAAGGGATAGCTCCCCACTGGGACACAGACAGCAGGACTGATGGGTTTTAACCTTCCCCACACCATCTAAGAATAAATGAAAAAAATAGTTGGCTATGCATACACTTTACAGAGAAAAAAAAGTAAAATAAAATATATTCAGTACTTTCCATGCACGTGTCTACAGCCTGTGCTACTGTACAATGTGTTTTTTAATGGACATTAATATATATAAAAATACTTTACAGGTTGAGGACCTATTCGCAATTTTACAGTCTGAAAAGGATGAAGTCTCATCGGTGGAAACTGATATATCCAGGTAAATATTGCATATGTTATTGTGCTTTTGTCTGTTATACCATGGGCTTGTTGAAAGATTTTCTCTTTTCCTACCTTACATGATAGCAGATGAAAGAGAGAGGATGTTTTATGAACAAAATGCTTTGCTGAAGTGGGGACCAATTTAATCATTTCCTGACTGCCCCACGCAGATATACTGTTGCAGGACAGCTGTGCTGGATCACGTATCTGATGCACAATCAGCGATTTCGCATGTGCGTCTGTCGACCCGACTGTGCTATGATTCATTACAGCACAAGCCGATCAGCGGGTTCCAGCCAATGACTGATCGCTGGGACCTGCTGATCGGCACAGTGACTGACAGAGCACAGCTAAGTGATTGTAAACACACAGCTCTGTACCGTGACACCGTGAGCAATTTTACTGTTTTTTTTTTTTGTTTTTAATTCCCTGCTAAGCAGGGAAAAAACTCCACAAGATCCCTTAGTAAAATCACCACATATTACACACATTAACACTTGTTAGGCACACAGTTAATCCCTTGATCGCCCTTAGATTTTAAACCCCTTCCCAGCCAGTGTCAGTACAGTGACAGAATAAAGTATTAGCACTGACCACTGTATTAGTGTCTCTGCTGATGTCAGTGTCCGTTAGAGTACACCCCCACCCAGTATCAGTGTCAGTTTTTCTGCTGCACTATCACAGTACCAATAAAAGTTGCTGTCATTACTAGTATAAAAAAATAAATAAAAATTACAGTGTGTATACACTATCGCTTATAGATGCTACAACGTTCACACAAACCAATTAATATAGGCTTATTGGGATTTGTTTTTTTTTTTCACCTAAGACATGTAGCGGAATATATTTTGGCCTATAGTACCCTGAAAAAGTATTCATACCCTTGACATTTTCCACATTTTGCCATGTTACAACCAAAAACATAAATGTATTATATTTTATTGGGATTTTATGTGATAGACCAACACAAAGTGGCAATAATTGTGAAGTGGAAGGAAAATGATATAGTTTTCAGACATTTGTAAAAAAAAATTGAAAAGTGTGGTGTGCATTTGTATGCAGCCCCCCTGAGTCAATACTTTGCAGCGAAAGGTGGTTCTACAATTACAGCTGCAAGTCTTTTTTGGGATGTCTCTACCAGCTTTGCACATCTAAAGAGTGACATTTTTGCCGATTCTTTGCAAAATAGCTCAAGCTCTGTCAGATTGGATGTAGAGTGTTTTGTGAACAGGAATTGGCAAGGCTTGCCACAGATTCTCAATTGGATTTAGGTTTGGACTTTGACTGAGCCATTCTAACACCTGAATATACTTTGATCTAAACCATTCCATTGTAGCTCTGGCTGTATGTTTAGGGTCGTTGTCCTGCTGGAAGGTGAACCTCCGCTCCAGTCTTAAGTCTTTTGCAGACTCTAACAGGTTTCTTCTAAGATTACCCTGTATTTGGCTCCATCTATTTTCCCATCAATTCTGACCAGCTTCCCTATCCCTGCTGAAGAAAAGCATCCCCACAACACAATGCTGCCACCATCATGTTTCACAGTGGGGATGGTGTGTTCAGGGTAATATGCAGTGTTCGTTTTCTGCCACACATAGCATTTTGCTTTTAGGCTAAAAAGTTTAATTTTGGACTCATCTGACCAGAGCACCTCCTTTGCGGTGTCCCCCACATGGCTTCTCACAAACTGCAAATGGGACTTCTTATGACTTTTTCAACAATGGCTTTCTTCTTGCCACTCTTCCATAAAGGTTTGTGGAGTGCACGACTAATAATTTTCCTGCGGACATATTCTCCCACTTGAGCTGTGGATCTCTGCAGCTCTTCCAGAGTTATCATGGTTGCCCGGCCTGTCAGTTTAGGTGGACGGCCATGTCTTGGTAGATTTGCAGTTGTGCCATACTCTTTCCATTTTTGGATGATGGATTGGACAGTACTCTGTGAGATGTTTAAAGCTATGGGATATTTTTTTATAATCTAATCGTGCTTTAAACTTCTCCACAACTTTATCCCTGACCTGTCTGGTGTGCTCCTTGGCCTTCATGATGCTGTTTGTTCACTAATGTTCTCTAACAAACCTCTGAGGGCTTCACAGAACAGCTGTCTTTATACTGAGATTACCTCACACACAGGTGGACTCTATTTACTAATTATGTGACTTCTGAAAGTAATTGGTTCCACTAGATTTTAGTTAGGGGTATAAGAGTACAGGGGCTGAATGCAAATGCTTGCCATGCTTTTCAGATATTTATTTGTAAAAAAAATTTTAAAACCATTTATAATTTTCCTTCCACTTCACAATGATGTGCCACTTTGTGTTGGTCTATCACATAAAATCCCAATAAAATACATTTGTTTTTGGTTGTAACATGACAAAATGTGGAAAATTTCAAGAGGTATGAATGCTTTTTCAAGGCACTGTAAATGTATGAAGATATTTTGATTTTTAGAATATTTTGCTGGCTATGTTTTGTAGCAGAAAGTAAAATTTATTTATTTTTTTTTCAAAATTTGAGGTCTTTTTCTTTTTATATCATAGAAAATAAAACCCCCAGATGTGATCAAATACCACCAAAAGAAAGCTCAATTTGTGTGAAAAAATTATATAAATTGCATTTGGGTAGAATGGTGCGTGACACTGCAATTGTCAGTTAACCACCTGTTCACCCCCTATGGACCAGAGCAACTTTTACATTTCTGCTATGGACCTGTTTATTCAGTGATAACTTTGTCATTACTTAAGATAAAAACAATATATGTATTACGTTTTTATCTGAAGAACAAACAAGGCTTTCGTTTCGTGAATATTGTCTTGGAACAAAGATTTTTTTTTTTTTTTCTGTATTTCTTAAACAAGTAAATAAAAGAAAACGCTCATTCTTTTTTTTGAGCAGTGTTAGTTTAAAAATAGTGTTACTGCACATAAAAAGTGCAGATTTTTATTCTGTAATTTGTCCTGTTCAAAATGACACTAAAATTATGATTCTGGTGCAAAGCATTACAAAGTTATTTACAAATGAGTTAAAGTGGGTATTTTTCAATTTTGCGCTTTTTTAAATGTGAAATTTTGTAAATATGTTTTAAAGGTGTAAAAATATTAACGAACAAACCAAACATAAAAAGTTAAAATATTAGTAGTTAATAAAATAGAAATGAACCAAAAAAATCAGCAGGAAAATAATTGAATGGAGAAGGAGAATAAGGGGTTAATTAGGGCTGATTGGCATAAACTAAGGGTTAATAAGGGGTTAAACAGAGGAACATTTAATTCCTTTTTTTACTTGGGTTGCTTTAACTGTCTTCATCAGCAGATCAAAGTTCTTCCCTTTGAACTGTAGATGAATAAACAGATACACAAAGGAAACATTGTTTCTTTGTATTTTTCTGTACTCAAAGTTGAGCAATGTTGCTGATAAACATTGCCAGATTTATTTTTTTCTTTTTGACAACTCCAGCTCTCAGAACTTTCTTCCTGTACTCGGCAATGCCTCTTTGAATAATTGGAGCTGAGTTACCGAGCACTGGGGCAGGGAAGGTCCTGGAAGCAGGGCAGGGACTGAATGTGTTGCACACGCCCTGTGTACAATGATGTCATGTTTTTGGGCATGTCTAACAAACCCAGAGTCTGCAACTGGTTAAGGTAGCACTGTGCCGAATAGCAAAAAAATGGCCTGGCCATGAAAGGAAGTAAATCTTCTGCAGGTCAAGTGGTGAAAATCAAATGGATGAAAAGGCTGGAGCCCCTCTCTAAATTGACTGCTCAGAAACCCTTGGTGCTATATAAATCCTGAATAATAATAATAACAATGATAATGTGCTTATGCATTTCTTTTGTGTCCTTTCATAAGTAGATTTGTTGGGTATTTTTTAAAAATTATTTTTAAATGTTTAACCTTTTCACAAAACATAATTCACAACACCTTCCCCACACCCCCGGACCCCACTGCAGTTATCTCCTTGGATGATTATCTTTTGCTGCCCATGCCTGCCAGTGTAGTGGTCCAGGCATTTGAAATCCATGCTCTTTTGCACTTTCCTCTCTTTCGGGACACCTTCCTGGAAGATAGAGGGCTCATAGATGCTTTCATTGGTTAGCAGCAAGGTCACGTGCAGGGGCGGACTGACCATTTGGAAACTCGGGCACTGCCCGAGGGCCCGGGGTCAGTAGGGGGCCCCATGAGATGCCCCTGGTACCTTTTTCATAGGCTTTTTTGAGTTTGGGCAAGGACACAAGGGGCCCCATGATCCCCTATTACCCGGGGGCCCCATGAGTTGTCAGTCCACCCCTGGTCACGTGCCAGCGCTGACCAATGCCCATTCACCATTGAGAGCATTATGATACTACACAGCCTCTGCAATGCGTACCTCATTGAGGATCACACCCACTAGCTGTAATATTTGTAATACTATAAGAAAATATAAATAAATACAACTGTTACTGTTATTAACCTCCTCGGCGGTATGATTCTTTCCGATTTTTTTGTGCTGAAAGCGGTACCATTTTTTTGCATGAAAATATGTAGTTTTTTATTGTAGGCTTTAATTTTTAGGAATAACTCACTGAAATCTGTACGAACAAGAGTCTATTAAACATCCCGGGTATGATAAAGCTTGAAACACGAAATCATAAATTATAATTTAATAAATAATCATAAAAAATCATAATATAATAATAAATTTAATTCAATAATATAATCAAACCAAAAAACACTGAAATTTGAAATACAGAGGCAAATTCACACATCGCTGAGCAAAGTCGCAAAAACGTTTTCAGTGTCTGATGACGAATTTCCCCACGAATCATTATCACTCAATTCTGCAAGTGGTTCTGATTTACTATCGCTGTTCTAAAACCGCTTTTGACGTAAAGGGACGCTTTTTGGATGCCATGGACTTTTCTAAGTTTCCAGGCAGAAAGAACAGTCAAAATGCAGGCAGGGCACAGGACAAAGCAGTAGGGACAAAATATATGTGAAATGCATTGAAAACAGCAATGACAGCAAATTTGCCGCCGGTTCCGGCTCCCGTAGGAACACAGAAGCCGGATGCCGGCATCGGCCAGAGGAGATGGCCGGGGACGCTGCAGGGGACACACTGTGGGGGCGAAGGACAAGGTAAGTGCTGCAGGGACCCCCTGAGCAATGCCGCATGGTAAGCCCGAGTGTAGCTCGGGGTTACCGCTCTTTGTACTCAAATTTTACCCCGAGCTACACTCCGGTAAACCGCTAAGGAGGTTAAAGGAACATAAATAAGTGAAGACCACCATAAACAGCGCTCACTAATGAGATGCAATTCAATCCCCAAAATTTGTGTGAAATGTAAAACAATAGAAAATTAATAAATATAAATAATACATAAACAATAAAAATAAATAATAAACAACACTTCCACCAAACAGTGCAAAAGTGAAAAAATATCAGTTCATAATATAAGTAAAGTCCAAATCTTTCTTTCAAAAAGTATCCACCACAATCGTGATCTCTGATGTGCTCAACACCCCATCAAAGTGCAAACTCACCAGATGCTGGTGATTTAATCAGCATTAAATCAGATATCAATAGATGTGGAGATTCATTAAACCAGAATGGCTCAGATTTAATAATGGTCACTCATCAGATGGTTAATCCAGCTCAAACTCCATCAAGGTAAGTATTATTCAAATTCCATATGTAGGTAAATAAAGAACACTCACCATTGCATAATACCGTTTAGAAGTTTATTGCCAACAAATACCCCCCTTAGACTAAAACTCACATTGTATAAAAGTACAAAAAGCATTCAATGATAGGTGTAGCTGCAGTGAAACCGCTAGCTATTTCAATGTGTGTCTCACCACCCGCTCTGTAGATTACAAATCTCGCAATAGCGGTCACATGGTCCAGCCACGTGGTCGCGGCGTACGTGGTGACGTCACTGCTGATCACGCCCTTACGCGTTTTGTCACACAACTTCCTCTGAGGGTGTCGGGCTTTATTATTTTTTTTTTTGTAGGTGTCATTCACATGGACATTAGAAAACTTTGCATTCAGATGTGTACAGCGTATAGTTTTGTGCACATCTTTACGTAGCATCAAGGAAGTCTTTGGGCCCATACACTGGTCTATGGCTGGTAGCATATATTTACACTGCATTTAGCAGTGTTCAAAAAATATGACACAGCTGCTTCCGGACCCCTTTATTTTACCTTAAGTTATAACGTATGCATGTAATTGTGGCACTGTGTACATTCATACCGGCATACAATGGCTCTATTGGCCGAAGTGTAAACATGAACATTGTGTTGAAGCTGATTACACACTGTTGATTTTACATGGCGGCCGAATTGGAGAGTCATTGGTCATGCTGGGAGAAGAACTAGTTCTCCTGTGTATGACATATGGGCCTCTGTTTCTTCAGGTTCATGGCGGCAACTCAGCCAGTCATATTTTATACACTCAGAAAAGACTTCTCCCACTGGCCAGCACACCTGATGAGACAAAATGGATTAAGGTGTCCATTTATCATGCAGTGGTAAACTACCGCTGCTCAGTTCTATGGCATTCTCAGAGGACACAGCTCTCCTCTGAATTCCTGTTTATCAAGCGGTGCAGATCACTTCTCCCAAAGAGTAATGAAGTGACCTACAAATGCTTTGAATGCTAGAAAACGGCTGCTGTTAAGAGATCAGTCAAACACACAGTTTATTAGGCAGCAGTAAGTTACTGCTGCTTAGTTGGCCACACACACGCACCAGCCTTTCTCAACCAGGGTGCCTTAAGGTTTCGTCAGGGGTGCCTTGGCAAAATTTCCCAAAAGTTGTTTACAAGCCAGCGGGTGGAACAAGCCTGCCTTTTAGTTACACAAAGCCACAGGTTTTCATTGTGAACCATTACAACCTTTTATCTGCTGGCATCCTGACAACCAATGACGTCATCAGTTGATAAGGAGGATGTCAGCTGTCTGCACTTCATCCTAGTTTGACCCTCCCCTGCCCCTCTTTATCAGTGCTGGGGTCACATTAGCTCAGTGATGGAGAAAAACTGAGGGAGAAGAGAAACACTGGGATACTACTCTGTACCAGTGTGATAAAGTGTATATGCTTTGGAAGAATAAATCACCTCCAATGTTGGGTGTCCTACATGTGTGGATGTTGCTGCGTTATATAAAACTGTTAGAATAGTTTTCCATAATTTAGAATGGGGTGCCCTTTTAAAATTATGGACAGTCTTGAGGCACCCTATTTCACAATGGGGTGACTCAAGACTGTCCTTAATTTTAAAGGGTGCCTCGGGACTGTCCATAATTTTAAAAGGTGCTTTGACTGAAAAAAGGTTGAGAAACACTACTCTACCCGATCGGGGGTTGTGAATGGCAGGGGGCTTATCCACTGTCTTTGGCGCTGTGATTGAGGAAGAAGGAAGTCCATAATCTTCCTCCTTCCTCCTCCATTCTCCTGGGATTCACTCTTCTCTCCCCGTTTCTTCATCTCTGGGATGGAGAACCTGGGAGGGAGAATATTCACACAGATCACCAGTGAAGGGCTGACATCACACGCCTTTATAAACTGTCCGTTTCTGTTTCTCTCAATGACAAATTCTCTGTGTGCTGAGATGATCAGCGGAGAACATGTTCTCCACTGATCATCTGTTTCATAAACCACTAATGTACTGAGATCAGCTGATCTCAGTTTCATAAACGGACACCTTAGAGTGTTGTAGTTCTCCATCAGCTCCCCTTTGATGAAGGGCCAAGCCAACCAAATTCTTAATAGGCAAAAACTGCTCCTCCCACTAGCTTTCAGAGCAGACCTGATGGGGATCGGACTGCCTGTGTATTGTAGTTGGCGGCAGGAATGGCATCCTTGGTTGCTAGGATACGGGTGGCAGAAGCTGTGGTGTTCAAAAAAAAGCCATTTATGCTGTAAGAGTGTACGCATGTCAACATTGCTCAAATGTTACATGTGTATAAAGCACATATATATGCAGGATTTTGCTAGCAGTTTTTGCCAAGCAAGATTCTGTTGTGACGTGAGCACACAGCCCTGTATTGGAAAAACAGAATTATAGTAATGACTAAACACGTGTTCATGTGAAACGCATCTAATGCTCCTCTGTCCTGTCTTGGCGCTGTCATGTTATTATATTGCATGTAAAGGATTCCCAATAAAGGATTTCATCCAGCACATTGCTGTTTGTGTGGCCAACCATTCTGTTTTTTCCAGTGCATCTGTGATCACGGCTCGGGCCAGCACCTACGTGTCTGTGGAGGGGTTATGCAGATTCGGCACTCACCTGGAGCGGATCCTTTGCTCACACAACCCTGTAAAGCATGAAGAGATGTTTGTTTTAATTTTTTAATAGCACTCAGCTGCATGTAGGCAGCTTATTTAAAAGGAATGAATATGTATGTCCACACAGCTGAGTATTAAAGGTACGAACAAAAGGGCGCACAAACGCAAAACCCGTGCATCAAACCCAGCTGTTTGGGTGAGTTTTTACAGCCAATGCATATCCATTAATTTTATATGGGCCGCCTGCAAGCAGCTCGCTGCTAGTACAAAAAGTAAACAAATGCCTTTTCATACTCTCTGGGGCTGCGTGTCCATGTGAATGAGCCCTCAAATATAAGCACACATGATTTGCAGTAAGTTGATCTTCCACAAAATCTAATTTGCGTGAACTATTTCTAAAATGATTTAGTAAAAGTGGGTTGAATCACCTTTTGGATACTTGTGTATATAATGGAGATTCTAGATCATCAGGACACTGTTACTCCTGCACTGCTGGATTTACTTTTTTTTCCATTACATTAAACCAATATTTTGCTTTTTAATGGCCACAGCAGCTAGGGGTAACTGGAATTTTTTTATGGAAAGACAAAGAACAGCACGTGATCTAACCTGCTAGAAACCATGCAAAAAATTAAATGACTTTTTGGGAGCTGAATTTTAAATTGTATGCATTTATATTATGTTTAATGAATATCTGTTTTGTTTAAGGGAACTGGATACAGAATCCCCCAAAGAAACTTCTACGATTCAGCTACCCAGTATCTTTGGTATTGACCATGCAAAAATTAACCAACAAATTTTTGCTTACAAAAAAAAAATGAAAACCAAGGTGATTGAAACTGACAGCAATGAACATTCTCAGCGACAGCAAGAACAACTTGCGGAGATTCGGAAACAGAATTTACAAAAGAAAAAAATGAAAAAGCAGAAGAGGGCTTCTAATGACCTCAGCCCACAGGATTATCAGTTGCTCAGTGCTATGGACTCTGAGGAACAAGAGGAGATGGACTTTGAACTAAGTGAAGAATTAGTGGAGTGTCATGAAGAAGAGAAACCAAATAGTGATGTCTCTCAAAAATAAGCATTTAATAGTGGCTTTATCTGCCAAGAGGAAACCCATTTTTTTAACCATCATTATAACTTAGAAACTGCTGCATTGGAATTGTTTTCTTTAATTATTTGTATTTTTGCAAATCTTTCAATATGGCATGAAAAGTCTATAAATTTTAATGTTAAGGCTTGCTAATTAAAATGTTGTAATAAAATTGGTTTGTATATGGGGATTTCTCTTTGACGGTTTGTGATATATGTAAACTGCGATAAAGGTAATTTTAAGATCACCTGGTACTACATGTTATGTTATCTAGGAAAACCCCAGAAAGATGCATGCTGGCTTTTTAACATTTATGAAGCACTCCTTGGTTCTTTTGTAAACTTGCTCATCTTACCTTTTTCTACCATGACACTGATAGGTAGCAAGGTCATAGTATTGGAATTGATTGTCTGGGATTGTGGCCTGAGGCGAGGAGTTAAGGAGGGAAGTGAAGAGACAGACTGCTAAGCTAAATAAAAAGACAGAAAAAAAAAGGATTTCTTATTCATCGCATTCTGTACAGGACATAGGCTACTTTTAAGAACTGACCATGGATACTGACAAGGGGATGGCAGACCCCTCTCTACTGAGAGTAGCTTTCTGGCCTGTAATTCCGATTTATATTGGAGGACGTGTAACTAAACTGTATACTTGCCTTTATCACTGACCTCTGTGTCTGGTACTCTCTCTCTCAAACATCAGTGGTGCAGTTAGCTGCAGAGTGCTCTACAGGCCCATTGCTATGGCAATCCCAATTCTGTTAGTTCCAGTTCCTGAAGACCCTCACCATAGAGGAGAGGGCATGCCTTCCTGAAATGGGCGAAACAGGGAGTCCCCATCTGGTGGGTTCTACCCCGCAGAGCAGCCAGTACTTTGATGTGTTCTGTCTTTCCAAGAAGGGTCTCTCCCCAACGGCTCACAACGCAACCCTCCAACCCAGCCTGTGGGGTAATCCCTTGACACAGCCCCCTTATTTGGGCATTGAGGGGTGGGTGGCAGAGTACCTTATTCTGGAAGCAGTGTGTGCACTGATTAATGTTGTGAGAACCCCTTAAGGGATCCCCTCACCTTTATAGTGGATGTCAGATGAAAAAAAAAAAATTAGACAAGTGGGCAGGCCAGCAAACACTCAGCACAGGGTCATAATGAGGTTGTTTGGGTTTCTTCTCAAAACCTAACATCTGGGTCTTTCGATTGGAGTCTCCCCTGATCTCTATGGGTACCTCTCATTACTGCTTTTTTTTAACTGGAGAGGAATTTTCTGTCTCTGACAGACCTGATGGGGAAAGTCTCTGCTCTAATAGACTGTGGGACGCACAAGGTATAGGCTGCATCAGAAAGTCTTTGAAAAGGAATGCTTTCTAAACATTTCTTACAAAAAACACCAAAATTGAGGAAGTCACTAGTAGTGGTGCACCAAAAAGAAAATTCTTGGACCGAAAATGAAAATTCAGTATACATTTGGCTGAAAACCGAAATTGATAGTTTTTTTAACCGCCACCCTTCCATTTCCTTTATATGGCAGGCAGGAGGCAGTCATATGACGTTCTGGGATGATGTCATATGACGTCCTCCCACTCTAACTACACATGCGAGCCCCCAGGTGCGCTGTGTCCCTGGGACATAGAGGATCACCGATCACAGTAAAGAGCCCATGACACAGGCTCTGTCGTGATCAGCTGTGTCCAGCTGGTAAGCAGCATTCCTCAGAGGGGACATCTACACTGATGATCAGTGTAGCCCCATCAGTGCCACCTGTCAGTGTGCACCAGTGCACATCAATGTCACATATCAGTGCCCACCAGAGCTGCCTTTCAGTGCCAACTATCAGTGCCAGTCAGTACCACCTATCAGTGCCACCTAACCATTCCAATCAGTGCCATATACAGTAGACATAAAAAGTCTACACACCCCTGTTAAAATTTCAGGTTTCTGTGATGTAAACAAATGAGACAAAGATAAATAATTTCAGAACTTTTTCCACCTTTTAATGTAACCTATAAACTGTACAACTCAGTTGAACAACAAACTGAAGTCTTTTAGGTGGAGGGAAGTAAAAATAAAATATTACCTATTTACAAAATTGTATAACAAACTAGGAAAATACTTTTTTTTTCAAATTTTTCAGTCTTTTTTTTAGTTTGTTTAGCAAAAAATAAAAAACCTCAGTGGTGATTAAAAACCACCAAAAAAAGCTCTGTCTCAAAAAAATTATAAAAATGTTGTTTGGATAAATTTTTGTCATTCAAAGTGTGACAGTGCTGAAAATTGGCCTGGGCAGGAAGGGGGTAAAAGTACCCAGTAGTCAAATGGTTAAAAAAAATATATTTTTTAATACATAATTGTATTATTTTAGACTTTTTAATTAATATTATGAATTTAAATGAATATGCATTTATTTTCAGCATTCTTTCGGCCAATAGGCTGCTTTCACACTGAGCAGCTTTTGTGTTAGAAAAAAAGGCACAAGAAAAAGCTCATCCCTTTAAAATTCAATCTATGTATTTACATTGGTCCATTGTGCGTCCCTTGTGGTGTTAAAAAAAAAAAAAAAATTCTGTTTTCCACATTTTTGGTGCATATTAGGCAAGTTAACAAAAAAAACAATGCACCAAAAACGCACCTTCACACGCTTGTTCACACCAATGTTTTTATTAGGGCTTATTGCAGAATTTAACATGGTTTCTTATTGCAAAACTGACAAAACGCAAATTTCATTGGTGTGAACCTGGCCTGAAATGCATTGAAAATGCATAAAAATTGTGTTTTTGATGCATTTTTAATCTGCCCAGGAACAAGTTGGCCAAAAAAAAAAACCAATTCTAAAACCGCATCAAGTTGGTCACTGGTATATCAGTGCATCCCTAGTCACGGGCATAAAGCTCACTATTATCTGGTACAAAGAAAGCTAAGGTGCCCATGGAAAAATCTCCCGCTTCTGGGTTTACGAAAGTTCCCTCCATCCCTTCAATACCTCTGCTTCAAAAGCCAAGTCTCCCATTCAGTTCCATTTTAGGTCTTGGACATCCAAGCCAGCCAAATCTACTGCCAACTTCTCCCAACAATGAAGGTACACCTCCGGTTTTGCAGGTGGGGGACAATTATTGGCCGTTTCAGCTGTCTGGATCTATGGGTCTGGGAAGTGGTGTCCAGGGGTTGGAGTACTGCTCTCTACTGCCTCCCCTCTTTATACCCTCAATTTTGCCCACCTCTTCAATGAGATCGCCTTGCACCAACTTTACTGTACTGAAGTAATTGTTCCAGTTGCCTCTGAGGAATGGTTTCTGGGCTTTTATTCAAACTTCGTTCCAAAGCCTGTCAGTGGTGTTCACCCCATCCTAGACTTGATGGTCCTCAACACCTTCTTGCGAGTTAAAAAGTTCCAGAATGGTTTGGACTGGTCTGTGACTACATCTCTGCAACAAGGGGATTTTCTAGTATTGATAGACATTAAGGATGCGCTGTTTACATATTCCTATTTTTTTTCTCCCACATCAATGGTTCCTGAGAACTTGTGGTAGGTGAGTAACATTTACAGTTTGCCGATCCTCCCTTTGGTCTGTCCATGGCCCCTTGGATCTTCACCAAGGTGCCTGCCCCGATGCTGGTACTGCTGTTACCTCAGTACCTCCACATTACTGGATATCAGGATGACCTTCTCTTGAAGGAATACTCTGTACTGGTGACCAATGTGTAGCAGACATTACAGGCACATCAGAGCTTCAGACGGATTCTCTGCCTACTAATGCCCTAGTTGCCTCGGTGCCTATGGCTGTGGAGACTCACAGCTGCAATAGCTCTCAGGCTTAGAAGGACTAACAGGTTGGTGGAATTTTCTTGTCTTATTTCTTGCGGTGCATACCATTTTGTATTGACTGAGCAACCATTAGCTTCTGCTAGTACTGCTACCTGTCAAAGGCTACGTTCACACTAGCCTTGTGTGCAGGCGGCAGAGAGGCGTTTGGGAAGCGTTTTTACCGCTTCCCAAACGCCTCTGCCAATTCTGCACATTACAGCACATGGTGCTGTTCTAACGGGAGCGTTTGCGTCGCGTTGCATCGCGGCAAAACGGACGCCTCTGGTCGAGTCAGGAGGCTTTGAAGCCTCCTATTCTCGTCTATGGTGCCTGCTCTGCAATTGCCCGGCCGGCGTTTGCGGTGCGGTTGTGACGCGGTTGCGGGGCGTTTGCAGAGCTGTAACACCACTCAAACTGTATTATAGGCGTTTGTGGGGCGTTATTAACGCTCGGCAAACGCCTAGCAACCGCCACTAAACCGCGCATGCGGCGTTTGCGGAGCGGCGTTTGCCGAGCGTTAAAAAAAACACTCCGCAAACGCCGGACCAACGCTTGCCAAACGCTATAGGGGCGTTTGGCAAGCGTTGGTAAAACAGCCAAGTGTGAACGAGCCCTAAGACTGCCTTAAGACTGCTATAACCTTTCAGTTTGCCATGCTTCTCCCAGCCATCCTGTATGGGATCTGGGAGACTCTGTCCTAACTTTTCTGTCTGAATGTTTTGAAGTTCTATACCCATTGACAAGTCCTCTTTCACAATTGGACTATTCCTACAGTTTTTGCCAGCTGTCTTGTCTTAAAACAACAATGTTGATGATTCCTGTGAGGATGCAACAGTGTTTCAAGTAATATTAAACTCCAAACCAAACATGCAATGTATTGCAGCTTACTGATCATTAGATGTGGTGGCTGCATCAGTTTTTCCTGTCTTTGGCTTATTTTCTCTCTGTTTTCTCCCGCTGTTCTGGTCAGTAACACACAGCATTGTCTGTCAGTCTGGGGGGAGGGGAGTGTTAGACGGACAAGCAGATTTAAATGCACTAACAAATTGAAGCCAAACTCCAGCTAATGCTTTAAACGCAGTTACCGCAAACAGATTTTTTTTCTTTTGAGATAAACGTTTTACATAAAAGCTGATCATTGTAATCACCCTTTGCTAGTGTTAAATGGTTTGTCTCATCTGTATAGCTGATA